CTGATTTAAATAGAAATAAACAGAAAAGTGTAGGTTTTTTTAAAAGTAGGTAGAAAGTGTCATAGTGTACAATTTACTTATTAGTTTATTCATAAAATAATTATGTGTGTTTTTGCCATGCAAAGTATCCCTGTGGAGTGGTTTAAAATAGTGTCCTTTAAAATAGTGAGCTGGAAAAAAGAATTATGTTCTTCAAAATTGTATCAATCCAACAAAATGGATTGATAGCTTAGCACCCCTGCAGTGTAAGTATGTTGATAGATTTCCCAAAGGTTTTTTTTTTTTAATGAAAATATATAAATAATTCATTCTCCCTGGGTTGCTGACAAGCCTGGACATGTGCTTGATTTCATCATTTTACATTCATTCCAAATTTAAAAAGAGTTAAATTGCTATATAATTGTTCTGCCCCCCCAGCACTATCTGGCTTGTTGCCTGCTTTGTATTTCAATATCAGGTTTTTACACTTTGCGCAACGTTCCTGTCAAATTGGAATGCTGAACTACAGTTCATTTCAAAAAAGTAAAAGAGACTGAAGACATATTTGGCTTGATTCATTCTTCTAGGTGATTGCTTTCCTTTGCGAAATCAATGTCAATGTTACTCACATTTTTAAGCAGAAAATATAATTGTCAGCAAATGTAGAGAAACATAATCTTTACACCAAAAGTAAAGATACTGTTTCTGATAAACACTTCTTGAGAAAGATTATTGAGTGAGAGAAAGTCAGATAAATTAAGCCATAGGTATTGTCCTTATGGAGTATTCTAAGTTATTATAATAGCATTACTACTAATACATACCAAAGTAATATACTATAATGAAAACCACACAAACTGATATTTTAGGGGGGGGGGAGTTTCCCTGTTCATGTCTATGTATTTACACTGTAAGGATCTACTCTTGGGCTGAAGAGAGTTGAAGGTAAGAAGTCACATTGAAGAGTTTATAACTTCTATCAGTAAAGTAACTCTGACGAGTATTGTACAATGTACATTTTTAAGACATTAGAAAATTGCAGCTAAATATATTCCAGGGATGATACTAGAAAGTAATAATTGTGGTAGAAATTTAAAAAGTCAAAATCTTTGCAATAACTGACTTTCAAGAAACCTGTATCATTTTTCTGCATATGAAATTTACCATGCTTTTCATGGTAGGTACATTCCCCAATTCTTTGGCTTGGCTCTGGAGCCACATAGAATATTTAACTGAGACTTCACTCCTCACCCTGCCAGATAACTATATCATTGAATGTTTCAGTCCCAGAGTTACATTTTAATTACACTTTTAAATTGCAGACCTCATTCCACAATCTTAATCTCACCAGCCTCAATTTATTTTTCCATAAATTCCATTGTCAACAATTCATTGATATTTAATGGAAAAGAAATGTTAAAGATGTTAAGACTTTAATGAATATTAATGATAGAACTGAATTGGAATGGAATGAGGGTTTTAATTACATATATTTATAATCCTTTATTTAAAGAATATAGTGTGTATTTTAAGAATGTACCAAGCAGAATTCGATTGGAAGTTATGTATTATGTATTATATTGAATGTTATAACCTTAAGGTATACATTGAAGTTTAAATAAGAGTTGAATGGATAAAATTAAAAGATATAAAGGTATCATACTCCAATTAGTAACTACAGGGGAAAATTTGTTTAATGAGAAAAGATAATATGAAATTGAAACAGGACAGACAAAAGTATAAATATAATGATTTGAATTGAGATGAGATAATCAAAATAAAGTTGATAAAATTAAAAGAGAGGAAAAACTATATAGAAAATGCACAATAGTAATAAGATATGGAATAGAACACAAAAATGAGCATGAAATTGAGTTTGTGTCTGTATAAAGAAGCGTAACCCGGGACCATGCTATTTTCAAAAAAGATGTTTTACTTGTATTATGTTTTTTTTGTGTGTGTGTGAAAACCCAAATAAAACTTAAAAAAACAAACAAAAAACAATTCATTTTCTATTACCCTTTTGATTAAGTCCTTATTAGGTATCGGAGATAAGGAGTTAGTCTAATTGGTTTTCATGAAAAAGTAAAAAAAAAAAGTACAAGAAACCTAAATATATGCAAAATTAAAATTAAGAGCATTAGTTATTAAATATACAGTACATGATGTTATTTCATCCAGTGTAATTACTTAGATTGACTGTAGCCAGTTTTTTCTTTGTTTGTTTCGCATCTTCATTATATTCATACTTATTTTTAGAAGCTTTCTTTTAATGTAAATATTCCATCTAAGATCCTTCCACCCTTTTTTCTCTTTCTTATTTTCTTTCTGAACTATCCATTTTATCCTTCTCAGTTTTTGCTTACTAATTGCCAGAGTATCTTGCTTCTGAATCAGGAACAAAGCAATTACTTTTTAAGTTCTTAAAACATAGATTTAACCCCTCTTGGTTATATATACATATTTACAGTTTTTACATGCATTTCAAAACAGCTTGTGCTCACTTTTGTCACAAGTTGCAGTACATGTTGTACAATTCAATTTTTAAACAGATTTAATATACGTAGAGTACAAGTGATAGTTCCACAGATGAGGTCCAAATATGTCTTTCCTGCAACCCCCTGCCTGTCAGATGCAAAGAATCAGGATCATACGTTAAGTTGCAAGCAAAAAGTTTTATTGTTCAAGCCTGTACACAAGAATATAGTCAATTAACATTAAGAGGAAAATTGGTGGTAGATGAGGGTCAACAGAATTCAAGAGGGATTGGACTTAGAATGTTTGTGGGTTTTCTGCCTTCTGCACAGAATTGGATTTGAAGCTGTACAGATGCAGATAGATAACTCAACAAGATGTCCATAACAAATTACATTTATTGGTTCATCAGGTATCCTCATAACCCGCGTTTGTGACGAAGTTCTTCTTTAATGACCAATCCTTTGTATATCTGCCTTGTAGTAAAAGATGGTTATCTCCTAACCTATCTTGTAGCGATAGAAAACAGCTCCCATGAGTTAGAGAGTTCAGACAAAGAATGAGGAAAACCTCCCCTACCCTTCGAGGGTCAATTTAATGACCAATCAGGATTACAGATGTGGCCATGTGACATGAACTACATTTCCCAGGATACCTTTAACTACATTTACCAAGATGCATTCCCTTAAGGGGACAGCTCATAATTCCTAAGTAACTATCCAATTCCCATAGACTGGCTGGGACAGCACAGTGGGAATGTAATGACTCCAGACTGATGATTCACTAAATTCTGCCGATTCTCCTATTTGCCTATTCTTCTCCTACACTAGCCTTCTCAAAAATATTCATTCACTCATCTGAAAATGTGCTGTAAAAATGTGTAGACTAGTGGCAGGATTCAAATTTTTTTACTACTTGTTCTGTGGGTGTGGCTTAGTGGGCATGACGTGGCTTGATGGGCCTGGCTTGGTGGGTGTGGCAAGGGAAGGATACCATAAAATCTCCATTCCCACCCTACTCCTGGGGGAAGGTTACTGCAAAATCCCATTCCCTCCCCACCCCAGTAACCTGCTTTCCAGCTCCATTCTCCTGTGCAGGACAACCAAAGAAGATCCAGCTAATCAGCTGGGACTCGGGAGGAAGAGAATAGATGGGAGCGGGGCCAGTCAGAGATGGGATTTGCCAGTTCTCCAAACTACTCAAAATTTCCGCTACCGGTTCTCCAGAACTAGTCAGAACCTGCTGAATACCACCTCTGGTGTAGAATCTTCAGGAATAGATTGTGATGTAGATAGGGAAGAAAAAAAGTAACAATAACGCCCATTAAGTTGCAGAAGATAACTGTATAATGCATTGAGCTTGCATGTGAATAACCATGTTTAAGAGAGTGCCATAAACTTGTAGCTGGAAGAATAATTGTTTGTTGAAATAAGTTGATTTTTTCCTACTGGTATTTAATTTCTTATTGTATATGCAAATTGTGTGAATGTCAACTGAACATTAAAAATGTGGGAAATGGAAATAGCATGGGATGATCTAAACTTGATTCAAAATTGATAATGTTGGAAATTCTAATTTAAAAATATACAGTATATACTAATGTTCCAAAACAGTGTTGAAGTTCTTTCTCTACTGTTTACATTTGTCCACAATGAAAGACAGTTTTTATTGTATCCTCAAACTGTACAGTGATATCTTTGATATACTGTGTGTAAATATATCAGAACTTTCTGGTCTAATAATAATAATAATCTGGTAAGATATGGTCATTCAGAGATTTCTTTGAGATTTTGTTTTTTACACGTCAAGCAATTAAATTTTCCTGCATCCACATCTAGAAATGGGATCATGTCTAAAGTGTAACTGCAATATTTAATCTAAAATAAACATCTTTTAATGACACAAGTTGAGAAAAGTGTTTCTTCTGCTGACAGCTTGGTAGGGCTAACATTGATAAAACTTTCCATGTTGAACAATATTGCATAGTAAAGCAAACTTGTTGAAAATATATTTGTGACAGAATACATTGTGAAATTTAAAATGTTAAAACTTACATATTTTAAGAACAAAATGTTTCCTATTGAATAGAAAAAAGGATAACATATTTTTAATCATTGGGAAGTATTTATTTTACCAAAGAACTGTATAGAAATTGAGAATTATATTTCTATGGTGTCCCTTTTCTTATAGCCATATAGTGTTTTAATCATTTATTTTTCTCTCTTAATGATTTGTATCCTTAACTTCCTATCCTCAAATATTCAATATTGTATAGAATATTATATTTAAAACACCTACTTTCAAAGTCAGTATAACAATAAAGACTTCTATAACACTGCAGCATTTAAACTGTATAATTTGTGTATTATAAAGTCTTTCACAGTAATGACCTTTGCAAGAAACTTTAAGCAAGCAAAGATCCTTGATTTCAATATATCAAACTATCCTTAAAGATCTATATTTGATTATAGTCATAGACTTCAAATAAAAATTTGTGTGATATTACTTAAATATATTTATATTAGGTTTACTTTTTGTATTTATAGCTGTCTTTTGGGGAGACATTGCCTTAGATGTTGAAGACTTAAAAATCTTTCAGATTGATAGGACAATTGATCTTACACAAAATTCAGAGGGAAAAAATGGACATAATACTGGTAAGCTATAAGCAATTTTTATTCATTTATATATGCAGAATTTTGTATAGATTACACTGTTTTGTAATGTGGATTTGAAACATATTCTTGTTAGTTGTGAATAATTCTAAATTTGCAAATAAATATATTTATTCATTCAGTTAATTAATGAATGTAGCCATTTAGTTATGAAATAGAGATGCCTGTTAATTGGGAGAAAGACTACTGTTCTGTTTGATATAATATAAAAATGCAGTGCAGCAACATCATGCTGTACCACAAACCTACTTATGGCTGTGAAAACTGTATTACTAATATGAAAATAAGCTGATCACTTGAATGACAATGTAGGACAAATAGTTGAGAATATTGTGAGCTGTGAGAAGAACAAATGATTCAATAGTTAATGAAGGAAAATCAGTTTGATTATTGGAAGTTGTAATAATAAAGAAAAGGAAAGGAAAAGAGCTCTTGCAAGATTTTACTCTACTAGGTCATTGCCCGTTATAGGGGGCGGTGCTCACCTCCATTTCAAGGCCATGAGCCAGCGCTGTCTGAAGATATTTCGGTGGTCCTGTGGCCAGCATGACATTGTGGAGTGCTATTTCCTCACCACCGAAGTGTTACCTATGTGTCTACTTGCAAATGGAGGCAGGAGCTAGGTGAAGACAGGCATTCAACCTGTTGCACAACACTCGGATCTCAAACCTCTTTCCAGCTGACAAACTCATTGGCTCAGTCATCACATCGCCAATAATAAAAAAGCATTTTGCCGATAATTAAGCATTTTGGCCGCATAAAATTAAGCAAGAGTCATTGTAAAAAGTAGGACGACTGAAAAAAAAAAGTATCTTAAAAAGAGGCCAATGGAAGATAAGGCTACTCGATCCTATTACTGATGACTCAAGCAGGAATTTGCATTAACTCAAAGAAGCTATTGCTGGCAGACAATCTTAGTAAAATGATGTCAATGGTCACAAAAAAGTTGGAAAAGTAATTGACTAAACAATAAATCCTTGTTTTATATGTATGTTAAATACAATAGCTGGCTTAGAAGAAACATTTAAAATAAAATTAAAAATATAGAACAACATGTATAAAAAAGAATTAAAGTTTAACTGAGATACTTATTTGATGCTAAATGGCATCAAGAAGGCATTTGGTACCAGGTCAGTGTAAAAACTGATTTTAGATGTCAGTACTTCTCATTCCTCAGTGTAGAAGTTGTATAGAAGGACATAAATTTGAAAGTTCACCGTAGTTAAAAGTTACCCAAAGGAGTAATCTATGCAGAACATTGATCTCCTTTACTACAATTGTAATGAAAGCTGAATCAGATATTAACATTTTACACAAACACTAGAATGAGACTGGAACCCAGCAAGGTGGTATATTGTGAGAGCATTGCCCTGAGAAGCCATGAGGTTTTATTTTTTACTGTTATTATTGTTTTATCAACTGCCCATAATATGAGTGGCTACATAAATCTTTTAAATAAATAAAAAAGTAAAAATCTGAATTAAATAAAAAGGGAATTGGCCAAAATTGGGTCATGATTTGTTATGACATTCAATTATGAATTAAAGACGTTGGGAAGGTTTATTGGCACTTAGATGGAAAGCAGTACAATGGACAGCTCTTTACAGAAGTTTGGTGCACCTTTCTTTGAAAATTCTGAGAGATAGTTAGGATTTTTCATTGTTAGTTTGCAAAGTTGTGTACGACCCATTGCGACCCCATGGACAATGTTCCTCCAGGCCTTCCTCTCCTCTACCATCTTCTGGAGTCCATTTAAGCTCACGTCGACAGCTTCAGTGACTCCATCAAGCCGCCTCATTCTCTGTCATCCCCTTCTTCTTCTTTTGCCCTCAATCGTTCCCAGCATTAGGCTCTTCTCCAGTGAGTCCTTCTTTCTCATTAGGTGGCCAAAGTATTTGAGTTTCATCTGCAGGATCTGGCCTTCTAAAGAGCAGTCAGGGTTGATTTCTAGGATTGACTGGTTTGATCGCCTTGTCGTCCAAGGAACTCGTAGGAGCAGCATAGTCCAAAGGCCTCAATTCTTTGGCGCTCAGCCTTTCTTATGGTCCAACTTTCACAGTAATACATTGCAACTGGGAAAACCAGTTAGGACTTTTAGGAGTCCCCAAATTTGCAGAAACTTAGTGGGAATACTTTCTTTAATAGGCCAGAGCTTTTCTGAATCTTGAACCCTCTTCATTGCAGTATTGTCTTAAAGGATGCATGGAGGTAGTTCTTTCTTGAGTCTCAGCCATCTCAGTATCTTGCTCAGATTCTGAGAAATTGATACAAGATACAATAGTTATTAATAATAATGTGATGATTGGTAGATGCTCTTCTGCTCTGTTCTTTCTTTTATGTTTGTCAGCCATAGCTGTGGTCATTTCTTCTCCATCCATGCATCCAAAACTTTCTAGTTTGAAAATATAGTTAAGAAACCTGATGCATTTCTTAATCTCCTTAATATACAATTCTGGAAAAAAATGGCAGTATCAACATTTATCTTATTTAGGGGAAAATCCACAGAATAGTTTTGGCCTTCAGACCTAATGAGACTTTTATACAATTTTTCAACAATGTTTAATACAGCCTGAAAATAAATTATCCAGAACTTATAAAATATAAGGATTGGACCAGAAGACCTTTAAAATTGTCCAGATGTGTGATTCTATGATGTTGTTTGAGTTGAATTTTCTGAACCATTTCCAGGCAGCTGTCAGTTGAAGATATAGGATGGAAATGGTATTAGTTGTCCTTTTGGAGGACAACTGGCAGAAGTGGGAAAGCATCTATCCTGGCTCTTTTTGACCTCTCAGCAACTTTCGACAATATTGACCAGGGTATCCTTTTGGAATGGCTTCGGGAGTTGAAGGTGGGGGAACAGTTTTGTGCTAGTTCTTCTCCTTCCTTCGAGATCAGTCCGAATCAGTGTTGATAGGGAGCAAGATGTCCAGCCTATAGCCCTTTCTTTGTGGAGTACTGCAGGTCTGCTCCTTTTTAACAACTACATGAAGCCACTGAGTGAGATCATCCAATACCTTGGGATGATATGTAGATGATACCATCTCCAAGCTGGGCAAAGTAAGTGATATTGTGGATGCTCTGTCATATTGTTTGGAGTGGGGATCTGGATTGGGAACAACAGACTTAAACTGGGCCCCGCCCATCCCTCCCCTCCGAGGAGTCTCCATGCAGCCCATTTTCAATGAAGGTAGTTGCAGGGTCCGCGAGGAGGCTGTGGGAGGGGGAAAAAACGAGCCTTCCGGAAGTACCGGAAGTCCGGAAATGAGCTTGTTTCCGGATTCCGGAGGGCCTCCAGAGCCCGGGGAATGCCATTTTTGCCCCCCCCAGAGGCCCGAAGGAAGCCTCTGGACCATTTGGAAGGCAAAAAAATGGCCCTCTGGAAGTACTGGTAGGCCACGCCCATCATGGCCACACCCACCCAGCAACTGGGCAGCGAACCGGTTGCTGGGATTTTTTAATCCTACCCCTGGGGCACTCCCTCTGCCTCTTAGCTTTTAACACCTTCATCTTTACCTCGATTTTTAAACTGTATTTATATACTTTTGTATGTTTTTACTTTAAATCACTTAAATCAGAAGGGCAGTGTAGACATTTGATAAATAAATAACTAAAATATGGTGAGTAGATCTCTTTATACTACTTTATCATCTTCATTTAATTTTTCAGTCCAATTTTGCCAATAGGATCATGCAGTAAGGGAAATAATTGGAAATAATTATATTTGTTTAGCTTGCATTTCTGATTTTCATTCAAAGAAATTAAAATTATGACATAGTCAATCTGATATCTTTTGCAATACATGGTACCCAACAGATTAATTTCCTTCATGTTTTGCGCAGGAAATACATATGATCACCTCCAGATAAAATGTTCTGCTTTTAGTTACATATCTGACAAATACTGTATGTCATAACAAGGAAAATGCTTAAAATTTGTATTCATTATTTTACTTCTAAAAAGAAAAAGAAAATTTTAATGAATGAAAACAAGATGGCATAGCAGTATAATACGATCTGGAATTAATATAACATTATTTAAATTGCATCCTTCTACCAGCTTTCCTGAAGAAAGACCATTTCATTTAAAACTTTGCTTCCTAAATTAAACCTTAATTTGAAAGATTGTTGCATCACTGGGCAGTAAATGTTTGCATTCTGGAAAGTTGATAAAATAGCTCATAGGGTAGGAATGTCTTAACATATTACCTCATTCTTCTAAAATTTAAGAAAAAAAAATCAAATTTTTTTTCTCAAGGCTTGCTACAGTGACAGTGAAAGGGATAAGGTAAATTACTCAGCAATGACGCAACCCATTTGCCCTATATGGCACTGTGCATTTTGTCGTAACCCTTTAAACACATAATGTAGAAGATTACATGACGAATACATGTTGAAAAAAAACTGAGGAATTACTGAAATAGCTAACCTATGTTTCATTGATTGCAGTGGTTCTCACTTTTGAATGGGCATGTAAATCAACAGTCTTTTTATGCATCTCATAGGCTACAAGTGTAAACATTCACTCATAATCTTTTTACTAATGGGAAGTAAAGTTGTTTGTCAGAAGTAAATAGTGTCATTAGTTCAAAGAAACGTAACGTAAAATGTTTGAGTGTGTTTACAAAAAATCAATTACAAACACACTGAAGTGTGCAACTGAAGCAGTTCACTGAAGCAGTGCAACTAATACAAACGTTATACACAGTATTATTTGAAAAGTATTTGTTTCAAATAATACTGTATATGTTCATTAGTTAAAAGCAACATAATGTAAAGTTTTAAAAGTGATTACCAAAAATCAATTCAAAACACAGTCAAGTGTTAAAATAAACAGTGCAATTAATATAAATGTTATTTACAGTATTATATATGCTGTATTCTTTGTTAGTAGATTCCAGTGAGTTACACTGTTTTTAGTACCACATAAAATAGAGCATAGTATCCTTGGTTAAACTTCACGATTTTATTCTATGGATTCTCTGCCACAGCCAAATATATATTTGCAGAATATTTTGTTAAGCTTTCAAACCTTCATTGATGTCACCAACTGGTTCTTAAGTAAGATAGGCTTAAAATCCATAGCATCATTAAAGGTATTTATCAGGTAAAAATAATTTTAAGCTTTTAAGTGAAAATTACAAAAGAGTTGATGAGGTCACTTGCCAAAATATAATTTTTACGTAATTATACAGGCTTAATTTTCTTCAATCTCTTCCCTAAATTTCATATAAGGCCACAAACATTTTATTTGCATATAACTAGTATAATGGTTCCTAGTATAGTATAACTAGTGGAATAATTCCCTGACATAGTAGTTTTCTCTTTTTTTATTCTAACTTTACTCATACGTCATCCCCAAACTGTCAGTGAAACTCTCGTAACTTTGATTAGCTATTCCAATATTCAAATTATACCTCCCCTTTATACTAATGTTGAGTAATATCCTCTTTAAAGTGTATGGAACATTTCTGTCAAAAACGTTTTTAAATATTTCTGAAGTTCATGATATTTTTGTCCTTGAATGTTTGCTTAATTATTTATCCATTAATTAATAAATTCTTTAATTAATTTTTCAAATTTATATGGTCAACCATGTCATGAAAAGAGACTCTGATGCAATAAAAATTATGAAACAGTCATATAAAAATAATGAACAAACCCAGAAACATTGTTATTAAAAGGCAAAGGGGGGACAGCTATGGAGCCACCAAGCAACTCACTGGTTCCTTGAGTGTCTAAGGCAGGGGTGTCCAACCTTGGCAACTTTAAGACTTGTGGACTTCAACTCCCAGAATTCCTCAGCCAGCTTTGCTGGGAGTTGAAGTCCACAAGTCTTAAAGTTGCCAAGGTTGGACACCCCTGGTCTAAGGCTTGGGTGAATGTTATTAGAGCATATGGGGACCCTATTTCGCAGGGGAATCTGAATGAACCAATAACAAATGTGTTTGGAACATTTTTAATTTTTTTTCATCAACAAAGTTATCTAATATACAATATGCCATTGTGGAAAAGTAAACTTCCATAAGGGAAAGAATACTTTTTGAAACAATGATGAAATAGGAGTCAAATTCTTCACATCTAGGAATCAAATGAAGAGACCAGTGGTGCGTATAATCAAAGAGATGTTTAATTTGTTTTTTAAAGCATAGTCAAAATCACTATGATAGGGAGGAAGTTGTTACAGTTAAAATATTCCATATTCTTCCTCTACTTTTTGTAAATACATTTGCTAATTGCATGCAATCTTTCATTTACTTTTACTTTTCTTTTAAAAGGTGGCTTTGAAGAACGTGGGGTGTCAAAGAAAAGCAATGTTCTCTATCAGCTTATAGACAGGATAAGACGAATTGAGTCAGGTATGGGCACGCTGTTTAAATTTGGTTCAACGTTGCATGCAGTATAAGACATTCCATACCTTTCTTGGTCCAATCTCTGAGTAACCATGACAGTAAGTAGATAAGCTAATTGTGAATGCCAGTAATGAAACCTTAAATCCAGTTTATGCAAGTGCCTAATATATTTGTATGTTATCTGTGATCAGATTAAATTGAAGTTTAAAAAACTTACAATACATCCATATTCTAAATGTCTCAGTTCTTATCATGCAGTGGTAGAGTATGTTTTTCAGTATATTTTTTATCATAGCAAAGAGCCTTGTTTTGGTCCCAGGTATTTCACCTAATCAATTTTTCCTCCTTATTTTGCCAACCCTAATATTCATTAATTTTAACATAGTTTTCCTTATAAATAACACTTATTTTGACTTAATTTTTCCTAAATGGGTTCTAACATTTATGTATGCTTCTAATGAAAGTTGATGCATTGCAATTGACTATATTTGTACTGCCTTTCATGCCATTCATAAGTGTAGCTTTTGCCTTTTGCAATAGCTAATTTAAACAAATCAATAGTGGATGTATTTGATCATCCTTAATAAACATGCTGTGGAATTTGTCCTGAGTCCAATTTACATTTCAGTTTCTAGGAAAGTTTCTTCTGTATATCAACTTTAATTCATGTCAATAAAGAAATATAACCCAAAACCATGTGGGGTGTTTGGGAACTCCACATGCATTTGAACTACAAAACGTTTTAATTCAGGGAAGCAAACATTTAAAATTATATCTTTTTAAAAATATCATTTTCATTTATCTTATTTCACATTAAATAAATTAAGCAAATTCTGCATATAAATAAAATAACTATTACAGTTTTAGAGATATTTGTTACAAAAATATTATTCTTTAACCAAAAAATAACTTCCTAGGTAAAGAAATGTTGGTGTGATTCATTGGCACATTAATAAGTGTTAAGGGAAAAAGCAGGGGGAGGAGATATTTACAGTACCAAGGGTGAATCAGCATAGCAGGGCTGGCAGGAGGACAGAAAAGTGAATATTCTAAATACTGAGTTCATGATAAATAGTTTCTTAGCACTGAGCCATAGTCATTACTGTTACTATATATTTCTTAAATCATATATATTCACCATAATGCAAAGCTTGACTGTCTGTAAGAGGAAAAAAGCTCATTTACTTGAAGAAAATGTTGCTGTTAGCACAGTATTAAGAATGGTATTTTACAACACAAATGTCATTGCAGATTTTGAACAAAATAATAAAACAAAAGCAAGACCAACTTTAACATTCTCAGGGAACAATGAGAGAAAACGATTTTCCCGGGCAGCTACATCGCGCACAGAAAGAATATGGCCAGGAGGTGTTATTCCATATGTCATAGCAGGAAATTTCACTGGTAAGGCAGACCAAAGGAACGTATTTAATCAGACCTGTGAACTAAGCCCTCCCAAATAGAAAAGTATATATTTACCAATTCAACTGGAGATGTGTTGAAGGCAATTCCCTCTTTTATAAGTTTATTCTATTCCATGAAATGGCATTTAATAATACCAAATTTTAAATTATTTGCATATTCTGGAATCTGAATGATACAGATGTATTTCCATGTGTTATAACCTATCCTATGAATCATTAAAAGAAATTCTATAATAAATAATAGTGCTTGTAATTAAACTATGGGAGAGTGGTCATTAACAAATGTAACCAACTTCGCTTTTAGAGTAATGTAACATATTATATTCACTATTGGTATTAAATCAGTTTTTCCCCAAACTTAACTTTCCCAATGTTATTGCATTTTAAACTAATATTCTTGCATGCTGTTGTTGCTGAGTGAAAATAATGGTTACAGTAATTCAACAACTTCTAGCAAAAGTTGGGAAAAGGCTGCTGGTGTTAATATTGAGATGCCAAATCTACTCATGTATTTATTTATGCAACATTATGATGCAATCCATTAACTAATGATGAATGTGTATACGTTTCAAGGTTCTAATTCTAGAAATGGGATATACACATCAACAAAGGGTACACACTCTCTTTAACAATACAGTAGCAGAGAATGCAGCTTGCAGCATGGTGTGATTAAGATGGGTAACTTAATCTACACTTTTTAAACTTATTAACAACCTTCAAATAAATTCTTCAATTCACTAAAGACATGATGGGCAGCAAAAGGTTCTATGGCCCTATCTTTTCATGACCAAGGTGTGGACATATGTCTATGTCTATATGTCCATCTCTATACCTATACCTATATATCTATGTCATCTATATTTACTGTATATCTATCTGTACACACACACATGCACATATAAACGCACACTATAAGCTTCGGTGGCGCAAAGGTTAGAGTGCTGTACTGCAGGCCGCTTCTGATGACTACTAGCTGCCTACAATTTGGCAGTTCAAATCCCACCAGGCTCAAGGTTGATTCAGCCTTCCATCCTTCTGAGGTGGGTAAAATGAGGACCCAGATTGTTGGGGGCAATTGGCTGACTCTGTAAAACCTCTTAGAGAGGACCGTGAAGCACTATAAAGCGGTATATAAGTCTAAGTGCTATTGCTATTGCTGTAAAGCTAAGAAAAAAGGAGAAAGATGTAATAAATATGAATAAAGGTACTTTGATATGTCCAGTAGAATTGATGAATATATAAGAAATTATTTAAGTTTCGTTGGGTAGGCGTGTGTGTGTGTGTGTGTGTGTGTTAGGACAAGAAGAGTGCTGAATGAATATGTGTGGAATATAGAAGGGAATGTCCATGTGAAAGAAGTACATTGAAATGATTTGGTTGTATAGTGAGAACAAATGAGAATTAACTCATGAAATAAATATAAGAAAGGGTTGAGAGAAAAAGGAAGGCTGAAAAAATAAAGTTGATAAGGTCCTCAAAATGAGAGAGAGGAGAAATCTAAAGAAGAACAGGTAAGTATATGAAACATCGTATGGATCACAGAGACAAGGACTTTGTAAAGGTAAATGGCATGGAGCGCTGTAATGAATGATGTAAACTAGATTTAACTATATTTCTTTTTCTTAACTCTAGTCTTAATTGCTTTACCCCTTTTTTGCTCTTTGTGTAACATTGTGTACTCTGAAAGAGAATAGTGTGAAGAGAACATACGTAAGTGTGTATTTACACAAACAATTTTTCCTTTGGGATGACAGTAAACATATCAATCACTGAATAATCATTTATTCAAAAGCAACCCAATTGCCTTTCACTGTGTTGCCCATTATTTAATTAAATTATTTCCCATTTTGTGCATAATTTAATGCTCTGACATTTGCAACAATATGCTATTTATTATCTTGCATTTACATAAAAGACCAAGACAAATTATTTGCATGTTATTAGCAGCTGTTGGACAAATGGAATAGCAGTAAAAATGAACTGTATTTCATGCACCAATGATAATTCACTAAGACAAACTAATTAAGCATGTTGTTGTACAAGGTTTGGCTGACGGCTTATGTGTCCAGCTTGATGACCACAAGTTTTGTGGTGCCAGTCTGACAGTTGATATATTTCTTTCTAACCGTGGGTAATTAAAAATGCTTAGGTTAACATGTTTAACATATGCAATTTGTTTATGTATTTCTGCAGAGTAAATCCTTTCTAAAAAAAAGATTCTCGGTTTGTAAGATTTCACTAGTTGCTACCCAGCTCTTCCAACCTGCCTTCAGAATTCTTGAAAATCGAAAATTTAATTTTACTATTGTTTGGGGTGATATGTTTTATTTTGTTTTTGAAATTTCTGATTTTGTTACCAATTTTGATTTCAGGCAGCCAACGAGCCATGTTCAAGCAAGCAATGCGACACTGGGAAAAATATACCTGCGTTACATTCATTGAACGAAGTGATGAAGAAAGTTACATAGTGTTTACATACCGGCCTTGTGGGTAAGTTGATATAAAAGATACGGATTCTAATGAATTGTGAGCCACACTAGAGGAACCAGACCCAAAAATCAACTGCACAGAAGACTGGAATTACATTTTATTGAGAATCTATGATCAGAGAAACTTCCAAGTCACAAAACCCACAGCCTATATGTTTGCATTGGGTTGTGGAATGCAAAAAAGATATGGATAAGAATTATGTCCTAACTATGTTTTTGTTTTGATGTACTCTGATTATTAATACTTAAATCTGTTTTAAGCATCATTATACAGTATATTTGTATAATGATGAGAGCAGCAGCAAGTTCCAAATTCCTGTCAGCTTTCCAACTGCACAGCCTTATGGGAAGCTGACAGTGAGCATCAGAAATCCTTCCTTCCTTCCTTCCTTCCTCCCTCCCTCCCTCCCTCCCTCCCTCCCTTTTTCCTTTCCTTTCCTTTCCTTTCCTTTCCTTTCCTTTCCCTTCCCTTCCCTTCCCTTCCCTTCCTGAAGGATTATAAGAATGGCTGGGAAGCTATCAGGAAACACTGAACATTGAAAGAGGGTCATATGACTCTTAACAGCATAGTGAGTGGTGGCACTGAGGCAGTAGGGACTGCTCAGTATTGAAGCCATCACAGTTTCTCCAAATTTCATTCCCTCTGGGATTATGAGATCCCGGTAAGTGTACCTGTTTGAAGTACCTTGGTTCAAAAATTGTTGCCCTATGATGCATTGTTTCATTCATTTGGAGGCTACATACATGAGAGTTTAGTAGCATACAAATTCAGGAAATTATGATGCTTATATGCATCTTAAATATATTAAAATGAAGCTTACTTATTTTATCAACAGTTAAGAATGTTGCTTTTGTTGGTTAATTTGGAATCACATTATATTATTCATTTTTCTTCTAAATAAATTTTAGGATTATGAATTCTTTAAAAGTTAATATAGTTTGGTCTAGTAGTTAAGGCACCAGATTAGAAACTAGGAAACTGAGCTGTAGTCCTATCTTAGAAATAAAATGGGTGGACTTCTGGTTTGAGCCTCTTCGGCGACAGACCGAAACCTCGTCTCTGTGAGGCTTCGATCTGTGCTCGCCGCTGGAGCGCCCCGAGCTGGCTGGTTTCGGGGCTAAGCCACCCCGTAGAGGTGGTGAAGAGGGGGGAGACTACCTGCAGGGCAGCATCTCTCCTCCTCAGCTGGCCATTACTCCCTTCCCCGAAGGCGGTTGTAGCGGTGGTCAGAAATGGGCACCACAAAAAAGAACTCGACCAGAAAAGAATGTGCAGGAGGAAGATAAGAAGAGAAAGTTTTGGTTGACCGGATCAAACAGCAAAAGTAACAAATAAGGTACCCTGGAATTGAAACTATTAAAAAAAAAACAATAACATTGTTCCCTAAGAAGATTTTTAAGCTGCGAAGGAGAGAGAAAAGGGAAAAGATTTGGGTTTTTTTCTCCTTTTCCTATACTGACAGCTAAGAGACTTAAACAAGAAATTGGAAAAAAATCCACTTTGACATTAATAGGCATTTAATGCTGAAAATAAAAAGTCAAAGGGATAATAAAGATTTCTGGATAATCAAAAGCTTTTGAAAACAGGAAAGGAGAGAAAAAGAATAAAAGGGCAGGATCTGGGAGGGAGGATACTGCCTGGAATTAAAAAGAATTTACAGCAAAATCTCAACAAGACTTCCAAAAGATACATTTTGACTGAAATATCGCAACAAAAACCCCAGGAAGAAAAAGTGGAAAAAGAACTAAGAAGAAATAACTCGGGACTATTTGGATTACTTGATGATTTCTGGATTTTTGGTTATTGTATTTGAATGACTAAAATCAATTGGGTGGTTTTTTAAAACTGTTTAAAATGGCTCCACTTTTAGAAGAACTGAAAATGGAACTTAAAAAGTACAAAGAAGATGCACAAGAAGGGAGAGGTTCTTTTGGCTTCATATTTCAGTTTTTAGAAATGGAGATTTGGAACTATGAGAAACAACAAGAAATGCCTGCAGAACAAGAAGATTGCGACAAAGAAGAAGCCATCTTTAATGAACAAGTAATCTTAAGTGGGGGGGAAAAAAGGAAAGGGGGAAAGAGAATGGAAAGTTTAAGATTTGGAAAAACAACTCCAAAAAAATAGAGTGAAAAATAAGTATAAAATCAGAAAGCAACAGAACAGGGAAATGCAGAAGAGAGAATTAGAAGTAGGGAGACAAGGGGGTAAAAAGGGGAGGGAGAAGATGAGAGGGAAGAAAGAAAGGAAAAGAAGTTATAAAGGACAGAAACAAAATATAGAGAAACGGCCTATTTAGAAATAATGGGTGAAAATTTAATGGAAAAAGGGACTCTGCAAAGGTACATAAGATAGTATTGTTATATTAGAAACAGAAATAATTTCAGAAAATATGAAACAATGTATGATTAAAATGTCTGATAAAATAGCTATCGTAATTCAGTGGAATGCTTGTCAATAAATAAATGTAACAAAATGAATATTTAATGATTTACAAAACATGTGAAGGGAAAAATAAGGGAAAAATTAATTATGGAGATTATATGTGTCTTTAAGGAAGTATGATATTTAATTGAAAAGAAGTGTTAAAGATGTTAAGATTTTAATGATTATTAATGATAGAACTGAACTGGAATGGAATGAGGGTTTATAATTACATATATTTATAATCTTTTTTTAAAGAATATAGTGTGTATTATAAGAATGTACCAAGAAGAATTCAATTGGAAGTTATGTATTATGTATTATATTGAAGGTCATAACCTTAAGGTATATATTGAAGTTTAAATAAGAGTTGAATGGATGTAATTAAAAGATATAAAAGTGTCATACTCCAATTAGTAACTACAGGAGAAAATTTGTTTAATGAGAAAAGATAATATGAAATTGAAACAGGACAGACGAAAGTATGAATATAATGATTTGAATGGAGATGAGATAATCAAAATAAAATTGAGAAAATTAAAAGAGGGGAAAAACTATATAGAAAATGTAGAATAGTATAAGATATGGAATAGAACACAAAAAGGAGCATGAAATTGAGTTTTGTTTCTGTATAAAGAAGTTCAACCCGGGACCATGCTATTTTCAAAAAAGATATTTTACTTGTATTTTGTATGTGTGAAAACCCAAATAAAACTTTATTAAAAAAAAAAAAGAAATAAAATGGGTGAACTTGGGCTAGTCACTCACTCTCAGCTCAACCTATTTCACAAGTGTTGTGGTGAAAATGGGAAGAGGAAGGAACGTTAGGTATTCCTCACTTTGAGTTATTTATAAATAAAGATGGGATCTAAATAATAATAGTTGGTTAAAATTACAGTACATATGTATGTGTTGTGGCCCCGATTCCTGAGCCTATGCTGTCAGAGGAAGAAGACCTGGAAGATGAGGAGGAGGAACTGGGAATGCCTTCCTCCCCAGGACCTTCCTCTCTGCCAATGCCTTCCTCCCTGATAATGCCTCAGGTTTCATCAGACAACCGAGAGGAACAGCCTGAGATTAATCAGGAGGAGGAGGGCATATCGGAGCAGCCCCTGACAGGGAGTCAAGAGGAAGAATGTTGGCTTGATCCTAAGCAGCGTCATAGGGAGAAACATGAGCAGCAACGTAGGAGGCATGGGAGGGTCAGAGAGTGAGCTGAGTCATTGAGCCATACCCCACAGGGGATAAAAGTGGGTGTGTTTTTGGCTGGAACTTTGAACGGGACAAAGTTTAATCTTACTTCAGATTTTCTTCGTGAATGATTTTTGTGGACTGCCTTATAATTTTCTGTGAGTAGATTTTTATTTGTTATCAGTTTGGACTTGGCAGGCAGAGGGTGTTGGAATGCCAAGGATATTATCAGTTCTAAAGAATTAACTGTGAAGTCCGAGCCAGCTTGCCTGCCTGTGTTTGTGTGAGTTTGTATTCTTTCATCTTTTGGGAAAGAAGAAGAGTGAGACAGAACATGTATGCATGTGTGTGTGTAAGAGAGAGAGAGAGAGAGAGAGAGAGAGAGAGAGAGAGAAAGAGAGAGAGTATGTACACATACACACACACACATTTTACAATATATTTTATTAAAATTTTTACAAAGAACATAAAAATTAATACAAGTTAATAAAAAGTAAAGGGATTCAAAGAAAGAAAGAAGATAGTAAATGAAAAGTGCAGAAAGAAAGAATAAAAGGAAATACAAAAAGCTTCCATTTCCTTTTGAGCAAATATAATTACCAAATTATCTTTTACTCTATGATTACAAAAAGAAAAGCTCACTTTTTTCTATTATCCATTTTTTTCTAATCATTAAGGGAATAAATTATAAGGTTTTTTTTCTCATTTCATTTAAAAAGTCTGTCAGGTTTCCGCTCAGCCATACATGTAGATACTGGTTTTTTTTTCTCTCTGATCAAAGAAATTAATTTAGCCATTTTTGCAAGTTCCATCATTTTCACTAACCAGTCCTCCGTTGTGGGTAGCGTCGAACCTTTCCAAATTGTATCCTTTTATTATAACCAAGCATGCATTTTTGTCAAATAACTTTTGCAAATTGTAATCTGAAAGGCCATGAATAGAGGGTTACCTGAATATTCACTACTGTTCTGTAGAGAACTGAAATGCTCCTGCAGGGACCAGATGGAAATAGTGGGACAGACAGATGGGAAGAAGAGATTATATGTACTAAAGACTTAGAATGATTAACTTAAAAATGATTTTCCCAAAATGTGATGCTTATTAAAATGTTTCTATTGTGATTTTATATAATGTGACCTACATGTCCTGAACAAACAGTGGATTTCTGAAATAGGTCAAAAGCTTCTCGTTTTCAGAGTGTTTAAATTTCATATGTAAAATGGCATACAACCTACATTACACAGTGAGCTCTGTTTCAATTAGGCATTACCTTAAAATAATGTTAGTTTGCAAAATGGATTCATCGAACATGCTTTTAAGTAAATTTTTGGAATTTACTAAAAACTTACTGATTCTCCACATAAAGGAGGATTGTGTTATATTTGCTTAATAAATTATGTCAGTAAGTACATGTTATATTTATTTAATTAAGTTGCTGTTCAAATTGTGACTATTTGAATGACTATATTATGATTTAATTTCTTTTAAATCAAAACTTTATTCTGATGGCAGCAAAACTAATATAAACAAATTGCCTCTATTGGTATTTTTTCCCCAAAATGTGATTTGGTGTTCTTTTTTTTCCTTTCCTTTCTTTCTTTTTTTAATGATCCTTCCGCAGGCTGTGATTTGATGTTTTATCACATTCCAGTTACTTTTTCCTTTTCAAAGCCAATTCAGAATATTATCAACTTGTATTATAGTTATGTGGCTGTAGCCCCAAGCCTATAGTCTAATAACAAACTTAATATGGATTGTTATGGAAGCAAAATAAATCATCTTTACACAAGAGGAAGGTTTACAAGACTTGGAAGCATTCCAAAGTCTGAAGAAGCGGAAAAGATTTGCAGAAAAAACAAGAACAGAACATTTTGAAAGAGAACAAGATAACCTAAGTAGAATCCTCAAAGATCTTCAGTATCTCTCATTGTGATATTCTGTTCTAAATCCTACATGTCAGTATAATTTCCAATCTGAAGAACTCCTGAAAAAGTTTATGACATATACAGTATATACGCCTGGATGATTTGCTTTCATCGTCTAATGTTATTGTTGAAGAGCTTCAGATCAAAAGACAATAGGAGACACGAACTTGACATACCAGCACTACCACTGTAGTAGTGTTCTATCCCATAAAGATATTGAAAGTTATTTTTAAAAAGCACTCATTGGGGACTGTGTGAAAGCAATAGCGAATAAGGAATATAAGTGTCAATTTCATATGAAGTGCAGTTTTGACCTAGAATATTGCGGTATATTTTATTCAGTTTTACTTGACTTCTCTGTGGTATATAGAAGCTTCTGTGTCATTAGCCAAAATTGTGTAGGCTTATATGGCTTTTTAAGAGATTAAAAACGACATATGATATTTATGTTTACTGTCTTTCTCCTGACCCCCCACCTCCACTTCTTGGAGAGGAGGAATTTCAACGGTGAAAGAATTCATGTTTCTTATTTCCAAACCATGTTCCTACTAGAATCTTCCCCCTATGACAGGGACAGTTGATTTGAAAAGGAACTACCAGCACCCAGTTATATCTTTAACATGTGTGAGCTAGTTTGGTCTTAAATTACAGGAGGATAGGAGACATCATGAAGAGCAGCCTCCATTATCAGCAACAAATAATATACAGTATTTCAGTTAACCAAAATATTTCAAAATCTTTCTTCTAGAGCAGTGGTCTCCAAACTTGGCAACTTTAAGACTTGTGGACTTTATAGCTGGTTGGAGTTTGTTAAAAACAAATCCTACAATAAAATAGGATAAAATACAATGAAATTAAAAAAAACTAAGCAGAGATCTCAGCTCCTTAGAAATGTACATTCAAATGATTTCACTTCTTTTCTTACCCTAAATTACAGGTGCTGCTCCTATGTGGGCCGAAGAGGCAATGGTCCTCAAGCAATCTCTATTGGCAAGAATTGTGATAAGTTTGGAATTGTTGTTCATGAATTGGGACATGTAATAGGATTTTGGCATGAGCACACAAGACCAGACAGAGATGATCATGTTGCCATCATCAGAGAGAACATTCAACCAGGTGAGACAATTCTAGATATTTTAGCATAATGTCATAGATTAAAAGTGCCATCAGGATTGAGCTTTTGAGAATTGTAGTTCTGCAACATCTAGAAGGTACCGGATGTGCCATGTGAGATGGAGCATCTCATTATTGATCTAATCTTTTGGTAACTAAAAAAGTTGTCTGGTAATTTTTGTAAGAAATTGCTTTGGATATAAGCATTAAATCTTGTAGATTAAAGTTGTAATTTCTCCTAATGAAATGGGAATTGTTTTAATTAGTTCCCAACTTCCTTACTTGCTTTACTTAATATAAACAGTTGGTTGTTTAGTTCACGGTTCCCCAGCCCCTGGTCCTTGGATCAACACTGGTCTCAGCATGCCGGAAACCGGTCCACGCAAACAAACGAAGCCCCATTTATGGGATACAGGCAGCATACAAAACCACACCCCCTCCGGTTCACGGAAAAACCTCTCTCCATGGAACTGGTCCCTGGTGCCCAAAAATTTGGGGTCCACTGGCTTAGTTGGTTGATATTGTTCTGTTTGTTACTGACCTATAAGACATGAATATTGGACCTTTAAGGTATTATATTTTTATTGTGGCTGTAATTATTTTAATTATTTGGATTGTTGTTCCTTTTGGTGCGGTTATTTATTGCTACCTGTCCACAGACATAGTAGTGAGATGAGTGGCCATAGAAATTGTTTATGCAAATAAATGAAGAAGGATATTTCCAAGGATGAAGTTCTGTGGGTGGAAAAAAGGAAGGGAAAAAAAATCTTTAGATGGGGTCAATTATTGAAGAAATGATAGAAATAAATGTGCATAATGATAATCTCCAATAAAGATTAAAACAATCTTTCATAGTCTATAGAAAAGATAAAATCTTCTTTTATCAATCAAATCTGACTCTTGATGACTTCATTAACATATCTATATAGTTTCTGAGAATGTTATACAGTAGTTTGTCATTATCACCTTCAGGGGTATTTCCCACCCCTAATCAAGCTGTAGATTTGAAATTTTCTGGTGGGCTGGCCATCTAAGTACTAACCAGATTTGATCTTACTTGGCTTTTGAGATCAACCAAGTTCAACCAGGTGCTGCTCCTTATAATGCCTGGGCTATGCTGTATTGTTAAATAATAATATGTGCTATAAAATTGCAACCAACGTCTTTATGTTTCCACAATGCATTGTAGAAAATAAGAAAGTAAGCGTGGAATAATCAAGTCAGAGGATGACAGGAAATAATAGTTTTCTTAATATGCTGCATACCAAGATGACATTTCATACAATTATTCCATCAGTAATTCAGTTCATGAGCAAACAGGTACATTGTTATTGCCTTTTACAGGAAAAATTAGAAAGCTAATTTTACCTGTGAACATATATCACAATCAATTAAATCTGTGTTAGCCTTTGCAAGCAAACTGTTTATATCTACCCATAATATATTATAATTTGCATATGAAAAGGAGTATTGCATTTTCTCCTTTCTTCCTATTGGAAAAATGTTTGAAATCTTCTGAATTACAGGTCAGGAGTACAACTTTTTGAAGATGGAGCCTGGAGAAGTGAATTCTCTGGGAGAACCGTATGATTTTGATAGCATTATGCACTATGCCAGGAACACCTTCTCAAGGTTGGAGTCTCAGGTTATACCTTTTGTCTTATAATTCTATTCTTCAATGTGAATATTCTGTGCATGTTGTTCTGATGTAGGCAGTTGTCAGAATTGCTTTGTGATGTTGCACATCTTTGCTAGCTGCCCAAATGTATTTTGTGGCTTTATTGAAGGTTTCATAGTATTTTTTTTTATGACTGTTTTAAGGGAAGTTTCTTAAACTGTGCAGTTTTGTGTCAGATTCTTTCCAAATACTGTTCTAGAAAACTGAGAAATGATAGAGGAATGCCTTATGCTTACATTTTTAGCTTATAGGCATTGCTTTCAGAACCATTGGAACCTGACTCAACTATGGAAGTAACAAACTGAATAAAAGGCTTTAAAAGCCATGCTTAATATCTTTAAAAACTATTCTATAGAAAAAAAAACCACTGTGAACACTGTATAATGCTCCAGCTATTATATGATAAAAAACATGTAGTTTGAAGATAATATATCTTTTTAATCATGCAGGACAAATAATTTGTCCATTTAAAATTAATTATTTTGAAAATGATTTGTGTAATTACAAAATGAATCAATCCAGTCTTATTTATGCAGGCAAATCTTTTGCATACAATTATATTATTATTTTTTCTGAATAGAAACATGCTTTTGGTTTCTTCTATCCCTTGGATAGCTTCCTGCATGTTGATTGGTTTTAATATTATTAACATTTTACAATAATTAGTTTGTTCCAATTTGAAACAATGCCTCTTTTGATTAAGGATCTGAAAGCCTTTTTCTGATTATGTCCCTAAGGTTTGCTGTTATTTTAAATAAACGCTTTAAGTATTCTTGTCACTGTAATGAAAATTTCAACAGAACAATGCATTAATCTCACACACATCAAAAGCCGTGAAAATTATTATGTGCACAATATATAATGAAGTTTTGAAAAAGCAAATGAAGGCCTTTGTAGCAGATTTTAATGAACTAATTAGCAATATGAGAACCAATAATTGTATTGTGGATTTTTTTTTGTTCCTAATATTCTGTTGAAATAAGTATAATTAAAATAATTGGTTAAGATCAAGATGATGTGCTTGAGTAGAACAGTTTTTTTTTTACCTATTGTGTGACTGTCAGGAACAAGCCAAACTAATCAAATAACCATGTTATTATAATTGTTGACTTTTCCATTTCACTGGCTGCTTTTTGTTACTAAGGATATCTTGTATAAATTCAAAAACTCTTGATATGAAAAATAAGTTGGATTTTTTTCCGCTTCTTAATTATTTTTAGGGGTATGTTTCTGGATACCATACTTCCTTCCCGTGATGATAATGGGATCCGACCGGCCATTGGTCAGCGCACACGATTAAGTAAAGGAGATATTGCACAAGCCAGAAAACTGTACAGATGTCCAGGTATTGAATCGTAGAGAAAATAAGCATGAAGAAGCATATTCTAATATAATTAACGAGGTCTAACTATAATTCTGAATAAGGTGTTTTCTTATCTGCTTCTATTCAGGCAGTTACTTAAGGTGAGATCATAAACATTCTTAAGGCATTAAGGGATCAGTGGCTTGAATCTGAGTTTACCATCTCAAGAGGCATTTCTGTGCTTTCCTATTGTAGCTGTTCACTTGCTGGAGATGACAGTGGGGAAAAACATGATTCATTCTATCATTTCTTATTTAAGGTAGTGTACTTTAAATCCAGATCTATATTTAGACTGATGATGCATTTGTTTAGCATACTTCAACAGGGAAAACCTAGCTGCTCTGCAGAGCAGTAGTCCTAGTTTTTTTTTTTTTTAAGATGTAATGAGTCATAAAATAAGTGCAACATTTGATCAAGAAATCTAGTTGTAGATTGCAGCCTTGAAGCTTGATTCTTCAGCTCTTACAGAAATTCATGTCGCCCTAAAATCTCAGTAAATTTCTTTATCACTGCACTTTCTGAATTATGCAATTGGTCAGAATTCCTCTGTTTCAAGTTTTTTTCCCCCCTACCTATGAAGTCCTATCTGATAGTGCAAGGCACCATTTATGCAGTACTCGTTTTGAAACTGAACTTTTTTTTAATGGGTGCCGGTTCGGGTGGGACATTAATAAAACTGTTCTCTATTCCCAATACATGCAGTATATGTGTTTGCATGTATGTCCATCTATGTGTCTTCCCAATAACTTCCACTGATTTTACCTTTCGCATATGATTCTAAATGCTTCACAAGCTGTGTTATGATGCAACTATGTCAAAACCAGAGAAGATGCAGGAAAAATTGCATATGGAAGCCATAGTAGGACATCCAATTCGTGTTCAGCTAATACATGTTATTAAGGAACACACACACACACACACACACACACACACACACACACGTATAAAAATGATGAGCTATTTCAGTTTATAGCCCAACCACAAAATAAACAATTCAGCTTAATAATTGTCTTTAACTAGGTTAAATTGATAATATGTTTGACATAATTGCATCTAATGACTTTTGAAGGGTTTAAAATTTAAAATTATACTCTTGCTAAAACTAGGTAGTTATATTAATAGTTATTCACCATGCAGTTTTATTATTAGACCTTTGCTTATTCAAATTCACAATAGATCCTCATTCATACTACATTACAATTTCTTCAATAATTTCATAATTGAGATTTGGGGAAAATATCCATAATTCTGCATGAGACCATACTACCGTGTTTCTCAGGCTGGGTCTTATTTTTTTTTTTTGAGCCCCGAAAAAATGGCTAGGCCGTCTTTTCGGGGGTGACTTAATTCCCCCCCCCTTGCATCTTCAGGCGAGCGGGCAGCGACGGCTTGGATGTTGCCCTCGGCGTTGGTGGGGCACTTCGTATCGGGGTCAACACAGGCAGCACCATATCCGGGTGTGCAACAAAAGTACTTCCTAACGGCAAGACCCCCCACCATTCCCCCCCCATTTCACATGTTTTAATATAGGCCTTAATTTGGGGGGAGGGGCTTAATTTCATTTCATGCCTATAAAACATGCTGGGACTTCCTATTGGGAGAGGCCGTATTGTTGGGGAAACAGGGTACATTCTACAATTTTAGTTTTTTGTGTTTAATGTCCTACTTCTTTTGATACTTTATGTATAGAAGTCTTCAACTTACAACCACAATTAAGCCCAAAATTTCCATTGCTAAGCGAGACCGTTGTTAAGTGAATTTTCCTCCATTTTATGATCTTTCTTGCCACACTTGTTAAGGGAATCTCTTCAGTTGTTAAGTTAGTAAGATGGTTCTAATTGAATCTGGCTTCCCCCTTGATTTTACTTATCAGAAAGTCACAAATGGTGATTGATTACATGATCTTGGGGGACACTGCAGCCGTCATAAGTAAACGGTCACTGAATGAAGGGTTGTAAGTCAAGGAGTACCTATATTGCCAGCCTGTTTTGGACTTCCAGATTATTTTACCTCATAGTAAAAATAAAAACCTGATGAAAAATAACCTTTTAAATCTGTACTGCAGGTGAGCGTTTCAGACTGGCCACTTCATATTGCAATTAACCCGCAGATGAGTTTTGATGGCACTGCTGGTTGTCTTTCAATGGTTTTATTGTTTGTTATTCTGCTGGTTTTGTTTCTTTTCTAACACTAAGAAGTTTTTCAGACTAGAAACAAAGTTTAATACAGCTTTAATTCTATAGCAGCCAGCATCAAGAAACCCAAGATACCAAAGCTCTGCTGTTTAATGGAATTAGTAATGATTGCAGAGTTAAAAATAAACTGTTGATAATTAGCTATGGTATTTACTTTGAAAATGTCTAGTGCTGAATAAATTATTTAATATGCAACTCATATTTGATTAGGATGTCGTGTGATACATGCTTGGTGTATGGAGTGAAAAGGAAAATATATTTAGGATAAGCCAGTGATTTTTTTTCTGCATATATGGAAAGATGTTACTCTGCGCTATTAGATATTTTCACATGGCATTACAGATACTTTCCTTGCATGTTTAGAATGAAGCTTAAAATTGTTATAGTCCGATGTTATATGTGTGTGTGTATGTGTGTGTGTGTGTATGTATATGTGCATATGTGTATATGTATATGTATATGTATAAAATATGACATTAGCCAGAGAGCAATATCACCAGTCTATCTTAATCCAATCACTGATCTTTTTTGAGTTAACATCTAAAGGCTTTGAAAATATCTTATAATTAATTTGCTTTTAATTATTCCTATTACTGGCCCACTGCACTGGGATAAGGAACTGCAGGTCTCAAATATGAGATGTTCAGCAGATCTTCAGATCCACAGAAAAAGCCATTTGTTAATTGAAACCAAGATAATTAAAAAAAAAATTATGTAGTAGCAGAAGGGTCTGCAGGGTATGATAAAAAAGGAAAGGATGTGATTGAAGCTCCACCGATGTGTTGCACACCCTGTGACATTCCTGTATTAGAGAACAGGGAATGGATGTTCCAAAGGGTTGATAAACTCCTCATTTCCTACTCAAGCTTAGCACAAGGTCCAAGAAAATACACCAGCTTTAGACCTGGAAACTTATCAAAGAGAGATCTAACCATGAACTATCCTGATGGCAATAACAATAAATCAGTGGAACTGCTTGCTTCCAGAAGTTGTAGAGGTTGTGGAGATTTTTAAGAAAAGATTGGACAGTCATTTGTCCAGAATGGTATAAGGCAGAGGTGTCAAGCTCATGTCATCACGACAGCATCACGTGATGTCTCGGGACTTATTTCTCCTTCCGTAAACTGGGCGTGGGCGTGACCAGCACACGATGCATCCGGCCCACAGGCTGAGAGTTTTCAGTCCTAGTATAGGGTCTCCTGCTTAAGTAGAAGTTTAGACTAGAATACCCCCAAGGTGTTTTTCTTTTCTTTTTTTTAACAAATTTTATTCAGTTTTTCACATTAAAAACAAAAATCTCTTTTTAGTGGACAACATATTTCCGGGTCATCACCTTTACATACAAATATGACAGCAATTATACATTCATATATGCATACTTAATTCTATTATTACCTTTTCCATTACAAATTTTCAGTAAGGAGAGAAACAAACACATTAATTCTAGCCTCTTTATTTAATCTCAATCGAAACATCTTTTTGTTTCATTTCAATTATTTCAAATATAATCCTTAAATATTTATTTTAAAAATAAAGATAAACAATGCGTTTGCCTAATAATAATAATAATAATAAAAGTTACCAATGTCTCTCCTTGCTTTTAATAGTCTATATTAACTTATTAATTTAGTTGGTTCTTTAGTCTGTCATATTCCCTTTCCATTATACATTCTTTTTATAAATTCTAGATTAATAGAAATTTTAACACTAAAAAACAAACAAACAAATATAGTTTCCCCCCTTTTACTGTTTTGAGTGTGACACCTGAATGATTAAAATATACCTTTATTCCCTCATCTTGATTCCCAATAAACCATTATTTTTAAGAAGTTACAATAATAATAATTACATCTTTTCATTTGGATTCCGCAGCATATTCCCCCCCCTTGATTTTTAATAAGAGTTATCAGTATCTATATTACCCTATTTTCTAAATATTTTTAATTGCAGAAATATTCTTATTACCCCTTGTCACCCTGCAGAATCCCCTTTTTAATTCATCAACCATTATCTCTAAAAAAACAATTTCTTTTCAACATTTTACTATTTCCGTATTTCTTTATTTCATGCACCTGTTTCTTACTGCTTCTCCTGCCCCTCTTTTCCCCATATCTTTTCTCATTCCAATTAATATCCCTCTCTTTCTTAATATCTTCCTTTCCCCTTTTCTGCTGGGTCTTTCTGCCTTTCCCGACTTCAAGGTATTCCCCCTTTTGATTGCCTTCTTAAATCTCAACTTTTTAGCCTTCCTTCTTTCCCCACTTCTTTGTAGTGTTCTTTGTGTTAATTGTCTATTTAAGATGTCTTCTCCTTGAATCGCCTCCTCCTCCTCTGAAGCTCTTTCTTCTTGTTCTTCAATCGCCATTTCCATTTTTTCTAACACAGAGCAAAGTGATTCGCCTCTTTCCTGTAGTAATTCTCTCATATTTTTAAGTTCCATTTTTAATTCCCGAAGAGATATCATCATTGCACACTCTTATATTTTATGATCGTTAAAGTCCACCAAAAAAACACTTTTACTTTCCTTCTTCTTTCAATTTTCTAAAGTTCTCAGTTATTCCAGCTGAGGGTCTATACCAAAAACATCAATCAATCCCACAGTCAGTCTTTCCTTGCTTTTTTCTTTATTCTGGTTCTGCTTTCACTTTCTAAGATTCTTACTTTGTTTCAATATTTCTTTAATGTTATATCCACACAAGTTCATTCAGAAACAGGATGCTTTCCCTTTTGTTTGAGCTCAAGTTTTTGTCAAAAGGTGGCATTCTCCATTATACAAAGTCTTCACCTTCCCCCCCCTTTTTTTATTTAAGGTTTTTCGAACCTCAATATTCCAGCACAGTCCAGTCTCCAATTTGTAAACTTTATTATTATTATTTTTTGACAATCTTAAGTCCAGCTTTATTTTATGCCTGTTTATTCCCAAAATATTTTAGTCCAATTTATTTAAATCTTTAGTTCCAGCTTCTTCCTTTCCCGGTTCGAAGCCCTGTTTAGCTATCAAAAATATTTTCTTTTTTTTTACCTGTCCCTCTGTAATTTCGCTGCTCACTTTTCTTTTCTTAAAAATTCCATGTTACCTTAATCCTGCGGTACTTTTGTTTAGTTGTATTGCTCAGTTGTCCCGGTTCAGATATTATCCACCTCTTTCTTCCCTCTTGCACAAATCTTAATCCAGCTGAGTATTCTTCTTCAGAGTGGCCATTTTAAACTACCGCTGCAGTCGTCTTCGGGAGGAAAAAGACCAAGCCCAGGGGGGGAGATGCAGCTCCCCTCAACCTGGCTTGAGGCTTCCCCTGACTCCCTCCAAGGCAGCTTCAGCCCCTAATAGTAATGATTGGGGCTCTCCAACGAAAGAGCACGGACCATAGCCGCAGATAGTCGCGGTCTATGGTCCGTCAGCGAGGAGGCTCCGCCTTCTCCCCCCCCCAAGGTCTTTTTCAACTTGGTTATTTTGTTACTGTTATGTCAATGGGGTATAGTGAGAATAAAGTTAAAAAATTATAACACAAGAGAAAAAGAAATATATTCATGCAGAGCTGCTGACACAAAATATCATGGGAGATTAGTAAAATAGATTAGAATTAGAAGAACTTTATTGTCATTGTACAAGTACAACGAAACTGTGGATGCACCCTAGCAACTGTTCTCAATACAATAAAACCAAAGCACTTAAAAATGAAGATAAGAAAAATAGAGTACTCATGTCTCCATTTGCAATTTGAGAGTACAATATCTACGAATATACACAAAATATACATCCAACACTGACTGAAACGCTTTGCCACCAAGTATAATACAGAATAGATGGATTGTACTGTAATATGTTATTGTACATCTGAATGGGGTATTGAGATTTCACATCTTTTCACATCTTAATGAGGTAGCGACTTCGTGTTTATTTGCGGTTCGGATGGCCCAGGGAAAGAAACTGTTTGTTAGTCTAGTGGTGTGGGATTTTATTGACCTAAAACGCCATTCAGACGGCAGCAGGTCAAAAAGATAATTGCCAGGGTGTGAGGGGTCTTCTATAATGGCCTTCCATGACTTTCCAAATGGTTATCCTTCATACACACATTGCATATGGAGAATTTCAGTGACTCTTCGAGAGAATAGGAAATAATGTAGGAATAGCTAATGGTCAATATAGCCGTAAAATGAAAGAGGTAACGCCAAACATTATATCATTATTAGGATTCGTCTATGTAAGTAGTGGCTTCAAATCAGACTGATGCATAGCTCGGGTAAGAGAGATGGAAAGAGTGCTGCACCATTTGAATACAAGCATTTCTCTTTCTGCCTTTGGTGAATCCCTGTAAGAAGAGGCATGTTTCCTCAAGCACCCCCTCCCAGAGAGCTCACAATTTCTCTATGATCTGATGTCTTTCAGCATGCGGTGAAACTCTGCAAGAATCTACAAGCAACTTTTCATCTCCAGGGTTCCCAAATGGTTATCCTTCATACACACATTGCATATGGAGAATTTCAGTGACTCCTGGAGAGAAGGTACTTCACTCTAATTTCCAACTCTGGTTCCTCAGGAAGAAAACTATTTGTTTTATTAGAAATTTTAAAGCTTGAGGGGCTTGAGTTTTGTTAAGAGCAGATCAATCAAATAAAGCCTTCGGACTACATCTTCATCCCTTTTATTTTGTCTCTTCAGAGATCATCAATCTCTTATTGCAGATCCCTTTATGCTTGAAACCTCCTATGAAAATGAGTACAGCCTGGTGATTTATTACTTAGAAAAAAATACTACTATACTAACATGGATTTTAGTTAGGTTGGTAGTGGTGCACACCGATGGAGACTCAAAAACAGATTATCCTACTATTTTTGTAAACAGCATAGGGATTTAAAAAGTATCCATTTTCTAGTCTTCATTTTTAAAATAAATTTCTTAGTATTTCTTAACATTCGCATTGGAAGTATGCCTCAACCCTTTAATTTGGAGAAAAATAAAGTATGCTTTTAAACTTCAAGAATTATCCCGACTATCTGTTCTGTTACCAACTGTTAGCGCCATAGCTCTGCTAGAAATGTGAAGAGCTCATTTGATGGAAACCTGTTGCTTAGTTTTGTCAAATCCTGAAAAGCTATTTGAGTTATCCCACTGCTTTCTGGCAGACCTGTGAAAATGAAACAGATAACTCTGCATCAGATATTATTGCTACTTCTAATTTGTTTATGTAGCCACTCGTTTTTTTAACTGCTGGCAAATGTTCATTGATCGTTTATCTTTGGAAATTTGTAATCATGCAATCCTCTTTAACTCTTGGTCTGCTTTGCCTCCAGTTTTTCTTGTGTCTGCTGAGTTGCAGAACATATATTAAAGTAATTTCATGGGTATTGAAAAACACAAATAATGTCATATTTAGCTGTTATGTTATCATAACAGCCAGTTTTGAAAGATTTTTGTTCTGTTGTGAGATTCCATGTCACACATGCCATATCTCTCCATCATTTAATGTGGTTTTTTTTCTTCCTATACTGAATGACCATGCTACAGTACTGTTCTACTAGCCTCATTTCATAACACAAGGGAAAGAAATGTAATAAATAGTTTTCCAACCTGCCTTGTGCATTCTCAGAAGGATAAAGAATGGAAGAACAAAGCTGAATTCTATACCTTCTTTCTTTCGTTTTGCTTTTTAGTTCAGATAATTGAGTCTGTTATGCAAGTGTGCTTGCAATTGGGAGAAACAGTCACTAGAAATTGAATTTTGAAAATAATTAAAATATACTTAAAATTTTATTATGAATGTGTAATTTACTTTGATTAAGCAAATCATAATTTTATATTTCATGCCTGTAATAAAAAAAATTAGCACACAAGAAAATGAAAATAACTTATTGCTAATATATCAAAACTTTTTGGTAATTGTCCAACAGTGCTCATAAAGCTTTAGTCCATCCATTTCAATGGGTGGGCTGGAGCATGCCTAATTTTTTATTCAGTCATGGAAGTAGTTGGCAGTCCCAAACACAGTTGTGGTGCCATGCGCTTCAGTTCAACCACATTGTAACCAGTTTATGTGTTAACTGTTTAGATCCCAGTTTTAAACCCAAAACCTTATAAACAGATTGCACCAGTCCTAATAGTCATGATCAAAAGACAAGAAAAGTCCAGACGTTTACTAATGCCAGAGCCAGAGCCTTAATAGTTGAATATAACAAACATTATAGAAATCTGAAGGCTGAATTCACTTCGCTGGATCCTTGGCCATCATTTGGCTCATGGCAAAACAAACAGAACTTTAGGCATATTGCAGATAATATCTAATCATATTACTGGGCACATTTTAACTGAAAGAAATATTGAAAATAGATCCTCAAATCTCATGCTGATAATAACTCTGAAGTATTAGTAGAATTTAATGTAGTAGTATTTGCTAACACTCCTCATCCTTGATTGTCATAACAATAACACAGGGTGGTAAAATCTGGTCATAGATCTCTCATATAATTTCTGTTTTTACTTGCTCAGTTAAAAAAACATCAATGACGTAAAACAATTGCTGTATGAAATATAGTCAAGAGAGTAACCAGTTCCAGAGATTCATCAATATGATTGTAGAAACCAATGAATTAACCAACTACATTGGTTGTCTTTTCTTCCAAGAATGCACACAGTTTAATGAACTGTTAAATAAATGAACAGATTTATATATTTTATTAAAACATTGCATACTACTTTATATCTTGATATATTTTGGGTGGTTATAAATCTCTGAACATAAAATTACAAAAAATGTTTCCATAACTTCAGTATGATGTGATTTTCATAGTGTACTGTTATGCAAATTATGGTCAGGGGAAAACCAGTAAGTAAACATGTAAGTTTATTTTTCAAATATCAGCGTTGTATGAATGAGAAACTGCTGGTGATCTTCTACCGCTGCACCATAAAGAGTATTTTAACTTATTGAACTTATTGTATGGTTTGCTAACTGCACAGTGGCAAATAGGAAAGCACTCCAGAGGGTTAACATCATTGCCCAGAGGATTATTGGTTGCCCTCTTCCTTCTTTGGAAGAGCTTTATAACTCCCGCTGCCTTAAGAAGGTTCAAAACATTTTTAAAGATCCATCTCATCCTGGGCACCCTTTTTTTGAACGATTACCATCTGACAGACAGTACAGGATAATAAAAACAAGGACAAATAGGCTGAAAAACAGCTTCTATCCCAGAACAGTAACTATATTGAATTCTACTGTATAGTGCAATATTAATGCAGTATCAGGGGTTTTCGGTTCAATTGTATAGAATGTGAAGGATGTGTGTTTTTGTTTTATTTTTTATGTATAATGTGCAGGTGGTATTGAATTTCATTGTACGAGGTGCAATGACAATAAAGTAAACTAACTAACTAATTAGCGGAGGGGTAGATTCCCATTCAGAAACAGAGGACATGTGCCAAGGTGGTTGTCAGGAGAAGTCCACCATTGCAATATGAAATTGCATTAATGGCACAATAGCAAATAATCATGTGAAAGCAATTGTTCAAAATACGATATGTTCCATCTTTAAAATGATCCCATTCAAAATAATCAATACTTTGATCTTATCAGAATCCTTTAAGCAGACACTGTCCAGAAAATGATTGGCCACCTCTGATACAGTTATAATCACAATAAGTACCTACTTGTATAATAGGCCAATTGAAATCACAGTATTAAACCTTACTTTAAAAAAAAAAAATCAATACAAAGCTTTTATCCCCTTCCTACATTTCAAAGTTTCCATCCCCTGCCCTGCAAGAAATCACAGACATATCAATTGTCTCTATTCTTGAGCATGGTAGTAACCAAGGGTTCTTATCTGAGATATCATTATGGAGATTGACCTCTGATCTGGCTGATTGCTTTGGAGGATGCAAGTAACCAGACACTATTTTCCCTTCTGTGATAAGGGCGATGAAATCTATAGCAGCATCTGATATGAAATTACTAGGACACACAGTTAATGCATTTCAGCTAAATGTACATGATATGAATATGCTGGAGAGATTCTGTTAAAGAAGTTCTAGTGTCACTAGCTAAAATATATACCATGAAATGGATGCAATCTGTTAGGCTCATCATTGGCTAGCAAAATAAAAGTTCAAAATCCTTACTGCTGGATTTTATCCGAAAATTAACAATCCCTTCCTTCTGTTACGTCTTTAAGAGCAGTTTTTGATCTCCCTTTTAATCACCCAAATGTCCTATCTTCTTCTGTCTGTCATAAACACGTAGATGCCCCATATGATGCTATTCAGAAGGTAAGATTTCCAAAATTGTTTTAGAAATATCTCCTTCCACTTTAAAGCCAATATACTGGTAAGAACAGCTTTGCATTTTTCTTTTTTTTTTGTCAAGCTACAAACCAATTTACTGGCACTTATCTCCTTTACATTTATTCCAGATTGTTCTAAACTTTACAACAATGGACCTCTATAAGAGCAGCCTGTGCTGGTATGACTACATTGAAGTAAGAGATGGCTACTGGAGGAAATCTCCTCTGCTTGGTATGAAACTATTGTGGTCAGTTTTGAAAAGTGAAAGGTAGAAATAAAAATAACATAAAATGGAAATGGAATTAATCTTTTGAATCAGGCAGGAATGTCTGTAGGGAGGGTTAAAAAAATCAAAATGGCAGCCACAATCATGCCATCAAAATCCTACTTTTTTATGTGCGCATGGAAAAGCTGGGAAAGCTGTTATAGGATGATGTTATGTTATGGGTACCTCAAGAAATGATTTCAAAATTCATATAGGTAAGAGTGGCTTAGCTTAAGTGTACTAAGTTAGTGTCGGTTATTTACACATCTGCATCCTTTCTGCTTCACAATATTTTTTTTAAAAAATAAATGGAATTATTTCTTTTCTGTTGTTTGTTCCACATTAAATTTTAGTTTATTTTCATCTGGCTGTTTATAGATCTATTATTGTCTACTATTGTCAAATACAACCCCCTACTTTATTCCAACACACCTATATCTTTACCTGAGTAAAAGCAGTGACAGAGTGAAAGCTGGAAGAATGACTAAATCATGGTTCAGCAAGCTGTGTGGGTTTGAGTGTATGTATATGGGTGTGCATCCCTAATTGTGTGACACATTGCCATTTTCCACTAGGGAATTAAATAAATGTACAATTCTAAGCCAAATTTAAATGATTCCCCCAAACTAAAGTAATTATCCATCCATCCATCCATCCATCCATCCATCCATCCATCCATCTTGTAGAACTGTAGTTTGCATCTCACACTGCTTATATCATACTGCATGGCATCATCTTTAGAGATGCCTTAAAATGCACTGTCTCACTTTTTACATTTTTTTAGGCAGATTCTGCGGAGATAAACTCTCAAACATCCTCACATCTAGTGATAGTAGAATGTGGATTGAGTTCCGTAGCAGCAGCAACTGGGTAGGAAAAGGATTTGCAGCCATTTATGAAGGTGAGTCCATAGGAAAGTCAACTAGGTTAAACTTTTATACCAGATTAACATAAAATACCTCGGTGGCCCAAATTCAGCAGACCATCCATTTTGGTATAACATGTAAATTTTAAGAAATACCAAAATAGGGAAATACCAAAATACTAAACCATGGCTCTTGAGATAATCAATTGCTAAAATTCTTTCCTCAGACTGCTTTTATAGTTCAAACAGAAAACTACAGGAAAGATTTGAGCAATTATTTAGATTACTTCTGGGATAATTAGCAGTCTTCCCTACTGGCCAGATTTGCTGAGGCTTATGAATTACAGGCCCAACACATTTATAATGGATCAAACTGGGGGGAGATTGCCTTATGTGTTAAAGTAAGGATAAGTGGGTAGGTTTGGATATGCATGTGAAGTCCAACCCAAATCAATAGGGTTTTCTTGCATTCAACCCCTGAATTCAACCAGATGCCTCTCAGAGAATACTTGAGTAATAGTTATTGTCTTACACAACTTTCAAGTATCTGAAAGTTCTTTTTGTGTTCTAATCTCTCAGGAGATATTTCTGGACCCTTCTGAGTAGTAATAAACATGCAAACTGGGGTAGCATACCAGGTTCTGTATGCTTAGAGTTTCCTTTCTGATGGGAAAGGAATTTTCCATGCGCTGCAGATTTCCCATTGCGCATGCCAAGCATTTCCCTTTCACAGGCGACAAAGGGAAACCCCTACATTAACAGGTATTGGCCCAGACACTGAAGTTGCTGGGTCATTTCCTATGGCTGCTATCCAGTCTGCAATTTACACTACATTCAGAAAGTATTCCAACTCCCTTGACTTTTGTCAATTTTCCTATGCTGCAGCCTAATTTCTATAGTTGTTGAATTTTTTTTTCTCTCTCATTAAACTACAGTCAGTACCCTATAATGACAATGTGGAAACAGAATTTTAGAAATATCTGTAAATTTATTAAAAAGAAAAAAACTGAAATATCTCATTGGCGTAAGCATTCAGACCCTTTGCAAAAATACTTGAAATTTAGCTTCGGTGCCTCTCCCCCAATTCATCTTAATTGTTGCTAACATGTTCCTACACCTTAATTGGAGCCTACCTGAGGTAAATTAAATTGATTGGACATTATTTGGAACGGCACACACCTCTCTATAGAAGGCCTCACAGTTGAACAATGCATACTGTAGCAGAGCAAAAGACACAAGGTCAAAGGAACTGCCTGTAGAGCTCAGAAACAGGATTATTGCAAGGCACAGATCTGGGGAAGGCTACAATAAAAAATAAAAAGAGCACAGTGGCCTCCATAGTTCTAAAATGGAAGAAGTGTGGGCACAGCCAGGACTCGTCCAAGAGCTGGTCACTTAGTCAAATTGAGCAATCGGGGGAGAAGGGCCCTAGTAAGAGAGGGGACCGAGAACCTGACTGAGCTCCAGAGATCCTGTGTGGAGATGGGACAGAGCTTCCAGAAGGATACCCATCACTGCAGCCCTCCATTGATCTGGGCTTTATGGCAGAGTGGCTAGACGGAAGCCTCTCCTTAGTGCAGAACACACGAAAGCCCATTTGGAGTTGGCAAATAAGCACCTGAAGGACTCTTAGACTGTGAGGAACAAAATTCTCCGGTCTGATGAAACCAAGATTGAGCTGTTTGTGCTCAATTCTAAATGTTATGTCTGAAGGAAACCAGGCACTGCTCATCACCTGCCCAGTATCACCCCAACAGTGAAGCATGGTGTGGTGGCACCATCATACTGTGGGGGTGTTTTTCAGCAGCAGGGCCTGGGAGACTGGTCAGGGCTGAGGGAAAACTGAATGGAGCAAAGTATCAAGATACCCTCCATGAAAACCTGTTCTGCAGTGCTCAGGAACCTCAGACTGGGCCGAGGGTTCACTTTCCAACATGACAACGATCCTAACCGTAAAGCCAAGATATCACAGGAATGTCTTAGAGATAACTCTGTGAATTTCCTAGAGTGACCTAGCCAAAGCCCTGACTTGAACCCTATTGAACATCTCTGGTGGGACCTGAAAAATGACTGTCCACTAGCAGTTGCCATTAAACCTGACTTGGGTTTGAGGGGGTTATCAAGGAAGAAGGGCAGAAAAATCCCCCAATCCAGGTATGTAAATCTTGTCGCATCATACCCCAAAAGTCTTGGGGTTCTAATTGCTGCCAAAAAGTGCTTCATCAAAGTACTGAGTGAAGGGTCTTGAATACTTATGCCAATGTGATATTTTAGTTTTTTTCTTTTTAATAAGTTTACAGAAAATTCTATTTTCACTTTATCATTTTGCATTCATGTAGATTAATGCAAAACAAAACCAAAAAAGAATTTAAACAACTGCAGCATAACAAAATTGACAAAAGTGAAGGAGGTCTGAGTACTTTCTGAATGCACTGTATACATAGAGTAGGTAGATTGCACTGCATATAGTTTTAATCATAAATTTTATCGGGAACACTTGATGAAGAATTCACATATTTGTTATTTGAATGGGGTCCTCCAGACACAAGTAACTTCTCATTTTGAAAAAATGTAAACACTAGTAAGTTTACATTTCTTCTTTTGTATTCTTTAGCAATTTGTGGAGGTGAGATACATAAAAATGAAGGCCAGATCCAGTCGCCCAATTATCCCGATGACTATAGACCAATGAAAGAATGTGTGTGGAAAATAACAGTGTCTGAGAACTACAATGTCGGATTAACCTTTCAGGCATTTGAGGTAAAGCCTTTTAACTGATCTGAGCAAACCATCTTTTGGCTAACTGACAGTGACATTTAAGGGAATCCTCATTAAGCCAACATAGACACAAAGCATTCTCTGTATAACATAAAGCCATAAAGTAGTTCATATTTCCTTTCACTGAGAGTTTTTCATTGCAGAAACTTCAAAAGATGAAAGGGTTATTATCTCACTATTTGAATAGGAATGTTTTAAAAACTGACAATAGTTTCTTTTAACAAGTAACTAATCCTGTTCCAAAGACTATTTAAGGAATAGGACTTTTATTTCTTTCTAAAATCTGTTTGTTCTCTTTTCCCTCTTCATACAATTACATCATGCTGATATTTTATAAAGGGATCATAACTGTAATGAATTTTATAATAATCTGTAATTTTTATTTTTATCGTTATACAGTATAATTCAATTCGGAACCATATTTATTATGTACTGTTAAATAAGCCTGTAACTCATTTAACTTTTTTTCTGATTTACGTTATAATCTAGGCCAGGAAAATATATTTCATAACGTTGTTCAAAATCCCTTTGTGTCATAGGGATTAGAAAATAGGTAGATAGATAAATGGAATTATATAAATGAAACTTAATAAAAAAAAGTTTTATGAAGTTTTTATACAGGGTATGCTGATTTTTACTATATTACTTCCTTTCCTTTTCATTAAAAATAATAAGAATTCAAACTGCAATCTTGCTCATAATCAATCAACTCATGTTGCAGAATTGTATTGTAAAGAAATGTCAAAAGAGGCATTCTCATAAAACTCATCTGGATTAATAACTGAGGGGGAACCATCCTTAGTGAGAAACAAGATATTTCTTAAATAACACAGATATAGAATGGAAGCCTTATGGTGCTAATATCTCTCTTCCCTGCTTCTAAACGTTATAAAAGAAATATGGCTTCCAAATTAGAATTGCTCAATAGATCACTGGCCTAAATCACTGTAAAAACATTATTTTTTTTACTGTACTAAGTTTTATCTAAGGCAAAAAATTATTCCAATCTAAACTATATGTGGTCATATTAAAATTATTTTTGTTGCTCAATAAAATACTTTTATCTGTTGAATTTCCAAATTTTATAACTTTTCCTAGTTCTGATTTTCTCATCTGCCTCAAGTTCAACTTGATACTTATTTGACCACAAGATGGCAAATAAACATCTCTTGGTGCCAGCATAATTTCTCTCCAATTTAATTTTACTTTTTAAAAGAAACCCTGTTTGGAATTGGAATCGGTTTCCCTAGAAAAGAGTATAATATCTATCCAGGACATTTAGCCTTTATGAGATATAAAGAAGCTTTTTATAATTGGACAACAAATATTTTATATTAGACACTGAGTAATACAGCTAATCTAAAAATTGTTAGCAGAAATATACATATTATACTTTTGATCAAATATCATTTTATATTTGCAGATTGAGAGACATGATAATTGTGCCTATGATTATTTAGAAGTCCGAGATGGATTGAGTGAAAGTAGCCCTTTGATTGGCCATTTTTGCGGCTATGATAAACCCGAAGATATAAGATCTACCTCAAATACCCTGTGGATGAAGTTTGTTTCTGATGGGACAGTCAATAAAGCAGGATTTGCTGCTAATTTTTTTAAAGGTAACAGTTTAGGCAATTAGTGGTGTAATTGCCTTTAAGAGCTATGCTGGTGCAGTGGCTAGAATGCAGTATTGCAAGCTAATACTGCTGATTCCGTAAATCATTTAGAAAGGGCTGTAAAGGAACAGCTGTAAAGGAACAATGGAACAGTAAGTGCTATTGCTAATGATAAAACTCAAGAAAAAATAATGTGGACACTTCCCTTTATTTAAAGTTTATTGTTCAGACAAATTTTCTGCTTCTGCCCCTGATCCTATAGCCTTCACTACTGAGACTACAAGAGTGGTTTGATCTATGAGCTTGCAGGTCTCTTTTTCATCTTTTATTTATTCTCACTATGAAATGGTTTTCTAAACCAGAAGATCCAAAGTGATTTGAATGCATTTCTAGGGGCAACTACTCTCACTAATTTTGCTAAGAATTCATTTTAAAGCTGAGGTTGCAACACAATTCTTTTGAAGCTCAGTTTATTTATTATACTGGAGGTAGCCTAAAAAGGAAAACCTAAACAGGGTGGAGAGGGAACTTCCCTATGTAGAGTAATGAGAATATACAACTAAGTGGATACAATACAAGAATCAATTGAATATAATTTATTTATTTACCTGATTTATGCAGCTGCTCAACTCAGGGCAGTGTATATCATCAGAAAATAACAGAAGCCAATTAAAACCTATAACCAAAGTATAAAACTATACACCAAAGCAGGGGTCGCCAACCTTTTTGACTTCAGGGACCACCAAACTCATAATTTTAAATCCCAGGGACCACTAATATGAATTTTGACTGACGGTGGCTTGCTGACATTGGTGGAATCTTTCTCTCTCTCTCTCTCTCTCTCACACACACACACACACACATACACACAAACACAAACTTAGAGGCAGGGGTGGGATTCAAATTTCTTAACAACTGGTTCTGTGGGCATGGCCTAATTTGTGGGTGTGGCTTGGTGGTCATGTGACTGGCTGGGCATGGCTTCTATGTAAATGTTATAAATATTTATGTAAATATTGAATTTTTTTATTAAAAAAGAACAACTTTTACCCAAAATCAAGCAAGCAAGCAGGCAGATTGTGTTGCTCACAGAATCACAGATTCATTCAGAGATCTCTTTCTGCCATCGGCTACCTGCACTGAATAATAGAAGCTTCAGTCCTTAGAAAGGTTCGGCTCTGCTTAAAAGCAGAGCCAAAGATCTAAAGATTAGCTAGAAAGCAAGAAATCCAACGATTTCCTGCATTTTAGTTAATCTAAATCTCCCTGCACAGCAGAACAGCTGGTAGTCGGGGGGGGGAGGAAAAATAGTAACTTAGCAGGCAAGTTTGCCAGGTAAAGAGTGAGTGGGTGGGAAGGGTTCCTGCGGGCCATGTGGGCGGCACAGCTTTGTGTTCCCACAAAGCCTAGATTAATTGCTTTGGGGGGTGCTCTGGGGGTGACATTTCTCCACGGACCACCAAAATTTTCTCACGGACTACCGCTTGGTGACCACTGCACCAAAGCAACCACATGTAAACAGATAAGTGCCAAGAGAAAAACCCTGATCCAGTCCCATACCCTGCATTTAAGATATTTAATACCTTTGATATTTTCAGCAAAGGTGACCAATATTATCCATACTGTGCCCAAGTTTGAACCTAATTGAAAGTGATCTAGATAATCCTTTTTATCTACTCAACAATCTTCCCTTCCTCCTTAACCACTGCCAGGCCACTGCCTCCTTAACCACATATGGAACCATTCCTTCTGTCCAGGAAGAATCTACCATCACTTGGACCCAACTACATGTCACCTGTAGGAAGATCTTAAGCAACAAGTTGGAGCATCATCCTAAAATATAGGCTGATGCAGTTACAGCTCCATTGTCTGTATCCAGTTCCTCAATGTCAATAGGACAAAAACTCTTTGTAGATAACCAAATCACCCCATAACTCAGCCAACTCCAGAGATCCTCCACAGAACAAATCCAACTCAAGTGAATCCAAGAGGTCTTAATTGATCGACACAATGAGGTACTCAGGAATTCCACCAAGCATCCCCTGAAACACAATTGCAATCATCAGCAAAACAGATGAATAAATCCTCTCCCTGCAGTGGGAAGCAATAAAAAACTTATATGTTAATGGAATCAACTATGGGGTGGATCTTATGAGATAATGGATAACTACAAAAACTGCTTCACTGAATGAAGAAAGGGCATTCTAAGAGCATAATTACAAAAAACATGGTGTGGGGCTATCTTGTTTCCTAGAGTTTATGCTCACCTCCTATTATCTTCTGTTGTCATCATTCTTTGGCTCTCTAAATGTTTTATGGCTGAGCTGACAAAGTTTATTATTTTTCAAGTGCCAGATTAAGTAATTGGGGGAAGGGAGTTTTGCTGTATTGTACTCCTCCTAACCAATCCTAATTTCTACTACACATTACCTACACTAATTTTGAAGTCTTGAAATTACGAAGAATATTATTTCAGTCTCAGCTGTATTCCTGGCTGATCAATATAAACAACAGAAGTAGAGAAAAACAAGACAACTCTAGGTAACAGATATTCATGATGGAAGTATGCAAGAACCTTTACCTAGGGAAAAAAATTAAAACTAATACTAGAGCAATGAGATAACACTTGGAAGCAGCTCAGCCAGACTCCTCTCTGATTTACTGGGGTATAAAAAGGGGGAGTAGGTACAACACAATCAGATTTGCAAGATTCCGTTACTATAGCCAGTCACCATAAAAATAAGTTCAGCCTTCCTGTAGAATTGATTTTCTGCTCTGGTCTTATCAACTGGGACTGACAAAATATAAGGTCAATGCTTAAAGGGTTATTCTTGTCTTTTCAGTCATTAGATGTATCCTGGCTTTGCGAAAATGCTTACATCAAACACAATTTGAGTTATAAATGCAAGTTTGTTGTTATTGTAATTGTTGTTATTGTATTGTAATACAGTATAAAAAAGAGGTATGTTTATGTTTGAATGCAATGCTATTTTTTATTTCTCAGAGGAAGATGAATGTGCCAAATTGGACAATGGTGGATGTGAACAACGATGTGTGAATACGCTGGGCAGTTATCAATGTGCTTGTGATCCAGGTTATGAGCTTGGGCCTGATAAGAAGAGTTGTGAAGGTAATTGAATGCACTAATTTTCAATATTTCAGAGACTATTTATTACATGGCTTGCTTTTATGGCAAATATCGTATCTGCATTAAGCCCAATTTTTCATTCTTGCCAGGGCTGGTTTTGTGTATCTATTATAAACCTTACATCAGCTATTTCTCAAAAATGCTGACCAGACAATAGATTCCATGCGTAGTGAGTTAATAAAAGTTTACTCTAGCCAGCTGGCTATTTTCAATGTCAGTATGTCTTGTTCTTAGTGAGATGGGTATGAATTTTATGAAATCATGGAAAACATTTAACTAATAAAAACATCCGTAGATATAACATTTGTATGTTCTAAAAGTAGCACTGTGTATTTAAATAAAACAGGAAAAAGATAAAACTTACCAGGCTGTTACTCTGTTAAGTCTTTTTACTATTACTGTTCTATAAAGTTGCTTGGATTTTTGCCAAGAGCAAGGTAAGATCAGGTCTCAAATTATTGCAAATATGCTCACTTTCCTCTACTTCCATTCCATTTTGTAGATAATCCAGCAAACAAGGATCTATTAAATAAGCATATAGCAGTTGCCTAATATACCTGAGTGAACCACCAGGTGTCCATTACTGTAACTCAGAAAGATGGAAGTTAAAACATGGTGCTGCATAAAGGTTTTGCTTCTTTTCCATGGCAGAGGGCAAATTGTTGGTAGCGTCATTCATGCTGTCAATAATTGCAATAAAGAGATGAATTAGGACAATGGTTTTCAAATTGTGGTTGCGGAATCTTGATGGGTCCGTGAAGGCTTGAAGAAATGTTATGATTTAAATTTTGAGTTAAGGACCTAGATATTGGTTTTTAAGACGAACATAGACAAACAAAACATAAAAACATCAAGCCATCTTCCATATATATACATACAGCGTGCCGGTTGGTTTACAAATTGTTTTGTGCTTCCATTTCGTAGTCTTCAATTACAATTACATTGTATATATTCCCATATTTTCAATCAAGTATTAAATACATTAATATCATTGTTAATCAATCCTTTGACTGTACTTTTATTCATCCATGTTTTACAAAATAATCATATTTTACTTAATTTGTTTTATGACAGTTCATATTATCATCTCAAATCTATCCTACAATCATTTTGTAGATATAATAAGAAAAGAATACATCTTTATATATTTATTATTTTCTAAGAATCTACATATTTCATTACCATGTTTTATTGTCTAACCATTGATAGAATAGATCCCAAATTTTATAAAATTGTTTATCATCTTGTTCTCTGATTTCAAATGTCAGTCTACTCATTTCAGCACATTCCAATATTTTCTTAATTATTTCCTCCTGTGATGGTATTTTCTCATTTTTGCAGGTTTAGCAAATACAATCCTAGCCGCTGTTAATACATTTACAATCAGGCATTTCAATTCTTTACTATATATTTCAGTTAAAATTCCCAATAAAAATATCTCTGGTTTCAAATCTATATGCTTTTTTGTCATTTTTTCCAACCACGTATGGATTTTAGTCCAATATTTTTTGGCATCCGCACAAGTCCACCACATATGGTAATATGAGCCAGGTATCTGATGACATTTCCAACATTTTTCAGATTTGTTCTTGAACATTCTTGCTATTCTTGTTGGGGGGAAATGCCACCTGTAAAACATCTTATACAAATCTTCTTTATATGCTGTTGACATTGTCATTTTGTAATTTTGAGACCACAATTTTTGCCATTTCTCTAGATCAATCCCATATCCAAAATTCTTCTCCCAAGCAATCATAGTTTCTTTAACTTGTTCTTCTTCTAGTTTAATTTCTGATAAATATCCATACAATTTTTTAATCACCTTTTCATCACTACCTGTCAAAATCTTATCTAAATCAGTCAGTTATCATAGAAACCTTCTGTTTTAGAATCTTTGTCATACCTTGAATGTATTTACGCATTTGAAAACCAATTCATCTTTATACCTTGTTCCTCTAATTTTTGCATAGATTTAAGTTCACCCTTTTCATTCAAGACTACTCCCTTAAAAAAAGAAAAGAAAAGGAAGGAAATCATTAATACTAAAGCTTTTCCTTTAAAATAAAATGCAAACGTAAAAATTTGACTTCAAAAGACAAAAAGAAAGACAAAAACAACTTCCAAAAGGCCAAAAATCCAAATAGCTATTATGAAAAGTAAACTAGTAAGGAGGGGTTTTTGTTAAAGTAAGAAATAGTGCAGCTTAAAAAAAAATAAAAAGAGCACAATGCACCTTGTTTGATTATCCAAGGCTTTTGTTAAAATTTATAACTCTCTTCTCCAGAGTCTTATCACCTTTTTTTTTTCTATAAGCTTCAACACCAGACTTCAGCTGTTGATAGAAACCCAGAAGAGCACCTGCAATAATACTCTCCTATGCTCTTCCCTCTATCTTATCAAATAGCAATGTCCTTGAAAATAAGTCTTAGTTCTTTCTCAGCTTTGTCTGGTCAAGAAAAAGAAATAAAATATTTCCAAGCCTCTAGTTGGCAGTGTCACAGAGTTTCTTTTGCTTTCACTTTCCCCCTCCTTTTCCAAACAAAATATAATAAAAATTAATTAAAAAGGGGAAAAGATATTTAAAAAGATGACTAAAAGGGAGTCTCTAGACTAGAATATTATAAAGTCAAAAAGGAGAGAAACAATAGGTAAAAGAAGAAGAAAAAACCAGTCCAGTTTCAAAATATAAAATCATGTGTAGAAAATCCAGCAATGAGAAAAAATAAAATAAAAATATTACTTTGACATTCCTGTTTAAAATCGCCACTTAATCACTTCTGTCAAAACTTTTACAGATTCTTTCTTTTCCTTAGGGTGTCCTTTCAAATCTTAAAATAAAGAAAAAGTTCTCACCAAACCAGCACACTCTCTCTTTCCGTTCTCTTTCGGAGTTGTCCCAACTTCAGCAGCTTTAATGGCTGCCTCTACCAGGGACTTTGCGATATCCCTGGGATCGACAGGATGTGCTCTTTACATTCACTGTCTCTTCGGGATGGTTTAGATCCGATTGGACCATCTAGGAGCAAAGATATCGGCAGCGATCTCAGACCTCCAAGATCGCATGCCGTATCGTCGCGACGCCCGCTCCGCCCTCTCAAGAGGGCTTTAAAGCACTGTGAAGCGGTATGTAAGTCTAAGTGCTATAGCTAAGTCTTGGTCTGTGGCCATGGTCCGTGGCCAAAAATGGTATTGAATAGGGATCCGTGGTGAAGAAAGATTGAGAACCCCTGAATTAGGCAATGTATCTCTGGGAATCTTTTGCTGAATAAGCCTACATGTGAATAAGGAGTCGAGTGTCTGGAAAGCTACAATGTACTGCTGACCTCTGGTTTAAATGAGCTAGTCCTGACAATAGAAAAAGCCATCCCCCCCCTTCTCCAAATTTTGTTTTATTACAGAACAATAAATACTACTTCAGAAAACTTAGAAAATCTCTTGCATTTACAAATATAATATTTTATATGGATAATATTACCACTAAAGCTGTACTTCATTTGTGAAATCACTCAATTTCTATATAAGAATTTCCCCCCCAAAAAAGCATTATGTGTATCTTACATCTAAATGTTTGTGGCATCGTGTCTTTTCTCTTATTGCATAAGTATAGTAAGTAACTGTGCCTTTAAGACATTCTCAGCTCCTAGGAATCAGATAATTAGATTTTCTTCATGATGACCTATCCATAACCGCATCCTTCAGCTCTTCCAACAGCATATTCATGGCGAATAGAATTCTTCCATTTTGCTTCTGGTCACCTTGTTCTCTTCTTCTTGCCTTTCTAGTGTTACTGCCTTTCCTGGAGAGCTGGAACTTCATATAATATATCCAAAGTAGGATAACTTTAACCTGACCAATGTGCACTTTGAATGAGAACTCGGAGTTGATTTGTTTGATGATCTATTTCTTTGCTTTCTTCTAAGTGCCTAAGATTCTAAGATTCAGCTCTAAATTTATGATCATGGAATTCATACCTTGGTTGAAGAAATTAAATCGATATAATCAGTGGTGAGATTTAAATAATTTAACCACTGGTTCTCTGACCTAATGATTTCTTCCAACAACCAGTTCACCAAAATTAATAACCAATTCTCCCAAAGTGGTGCAAACTGGCTGAATTCTACCCACTGGATATAATCTTACATGAATTACTTAACATATTTTTGAATTTAGCCTGAGTTGGGTAACTTTTTGAGGCAGTGGTCACAATTTTTTAAAATGAGGAAAATAGCTGCAAACTCACATACGCAACAAATTCCATAAGATTTCAATTGTGTCTCCACAAATTAGTATGTAGCTGATTTTTTTTAAAAAAGAAGAAACAATATTTATGTATGCGTACCTTGTTTTCAGCCTCCTTCCCTACAGTCCATATATGCCAATAGCCAATATTGGCCACACTTTAGGATTTATCTGTTTTGTTTGTTTGTTTAGAAAAGATAGATTACTGAATTCATTTACTACTTTGTCATGTGTACTAACTATAATTTTATGAGCTTATAACTTTATGAATCTGTTCTTTCCCTTTTATTTCAGCTGCCTGTGGGGGTCTTTTGACAAAGCTGAATGGGACTCTAACATCACCAGGATGGCCCAAAGAATACCCCCCTAATAAAAACTGCGTGTGGCAACTTGTTGCTCCCACCCAGTACAGAATCTCAGTGAAGTTTGAGTTCTTTGAACTGGAAGGGAGTGAAGTAAGTTAATGACAGCCGCAGCTAATATTTGCTAATAGTAGCAGAATGCAAAATAGATCCTATTAATGAAAACTATCCATCATAATTCTTGTTTTCTTAATTGGCTCTTAATTCTTATTTCTTGGTGCTGTTTTAACTGCATGCTGAATAATCCACTTGAAATCAACATACAAATGAAATCATGACCACATTTCTAAAACCCACTTTGAGATTGGAGATTATTACATGAACATACATGAATAAATTCATTATCACTAATTAAAACATACAATCAACACACTATCAAAATATTAGGTCCAGAATTAGAATTCCTAAGGGTCAGGAAAAGCCAAGATGACCAAATGTTAGGTCTTTTCATTGAGAATACCATACATTCATTTAAAAAGCTAAAAAAAGATTTTAGTTAACAAATTAATAAGAATTTTCCAACTCATTTAATACCAGTATACAGACATAACATGATTCAGGTAACCACAATAGAAAATTAAATTTTTAAATTAAACCAGAAATATGGAAAGACAAACTAAAATGAAAAAAAAAAATATGTAGGTGTGACAATACTGTTTACATTACTCATTATTATTAATACCAAAGGAATTTGAATCATAATACAACAGAGCTAATATTAAGATCCTGGCATCAATAGGGTTCCAAGTCTTTTACTCAAGAAAGAAGAACCATCCAGGTGGGGAAAGGAAGGTAATTGCATCGCGTGGCTCGGTCACTTCCAGCCCGGCGACCTCCCCCCCTCCGCCACTTCTTTTGTAAAGCAACAGGGTCGCTGGCAATGGTTTTCTTCACTTTGTCGCTTTGGCTCCACAGCCGGGTGACCGACCGATTTTGGTGCAAGCAGCGGATCCTCAAGCATTCCCTGCATTTTCGTGGAACCGCTGCTATAGCTTGGCATACCAAGCTGTTTGGAGGGCCTTTGTGTATACCACCAAGGCCAGGTATCTCAAAAAGAAAGATATGAGGACTCTTTAGGAAACTAGGATCAAAGCGGCATCGCTGGAGCATGGTGTGAAGTACCATAACTTCATAAGTGGCCTTTATAAGTGTCAAGTAGAATTGAACCGGAAATCATTAGCCGAGCTAGCCATCTATGAACCAAAGACATTCAAATCTTTAGCTGCTTTAGCCAAAAGAAGAGGGGATGAAGGACTCCTTGCAGCCCAGGGAGAAGAAAAGGAACCTGCAGGAATATTTTCCTGCCTATTAAAACATCTGTGAAGGGCAGGCACTCCCAATGAGCTCTGCTCAAATTAAAAAAGAAACATTTTAAAAATAAAAATATTGATTTAAAAAAAAAGGAAAGAAAGAAAAACCATCCAAACCCTCTTTTATATTTGATCAAATTTGGTGTAATGAGTAATGCAAACAATCAAAGAAAAAAAAAAGAGCTAAACCACATTATGTCTCATGGTTGAAGGTATAAATTGAAAGATAAATGTATTTCTTAATTGCATTTAGATTAATACTGCCATTTCATTTTTTAGGTGTGCAAATACGATTATGTGGAAATTCGTAGTGGCCTTTCTACTGATTCTAAACCACATGGTAAATTTTGTGGTACAGAAGTGCCTGAAGTTATCACATCCCAGTATAACAACATGAGAATTGAGTTCAAATCCGATAACACGGTTTCAAAAAAAGGTTTCAAAGCTCACTTCTTCTCAGGTATTAAAACAAGTACAATAAGTGTGATCCGTATGAATATTTGGGTTTTTTCAAATACAATTAAAGTTTCCAAAATCTTTTTTCCAAGGTGAGATTTATTTATGCTTTTCATTTTTTGATTCCAGTGAAGATGAATGGCCAGTCTCTTAAAAAGTTCAATTTCAATTTTTCACTTAATTAAATAATTTCAATACATATACTATAATAATTGTGACAGGAATATATTATTAGTTGTAATAATAATATATACCTATATTATTATTACTTAGTATCCAGATTTCATTATTCATTTGTCTTCCTAATTATATTGGTTTTCCTTTATTTGTAGTAATTTTCTCTTAATGTTTTGTCATTCAAACTCTTTAAATAAAACAACATAATTGAATAGCCATATATGTTATTTGCACACAAACATACATATATGCACTCACATAGACACTTATGTGCATATATATAAATTCATAAAGCTTCAAGCATTTTGATGATGAGACTTTGCCAATTAACAAAATATATATTCTCATTATACATTAATTCATCAATTATTAAAATTTTGACCTTCAATTCTATACACTTGCCCAGTTGTGAGACAATTGCAATCCAATCAAGGAAATGCCAAGCAGTGTACATTTCCATGTTGCATATTATGTGTGGCTCTTTTTTCTATACTTTAAGGAGAAAGTTTCCCACGGGGACTTAATCCTAACTAAAACCATTATGTACCTTTTTAATGAAAAATAGAGGTAAATGCTCTTTGTAGAGTAAATGTGTTGTATATTTTATAGATAAAGATGAATGTTCAAAGGACAATGGTGGCTGCCAGCATGAATGCATTAACACTTTTGGAAGCTATGTTTGCCAATGTCGGAATGGATTTGTGCTTCATGAAAACAAACATGACTGCAAGGAAGGTAAAAAGTCAGAGAACCTTATTTTAAAGAAGTTGCTTGAGTGCATTTTATTTTATGCATGTAACCTTATATTTCCATCTGTTCTAAGATTGTAAGTTATTTCATTGAAAAGTGTAATGTAACAGGGTGTAGAAAATATTCAAATATTGTATGACCACGATTCCTCAAAGTCAGTGGAAGCATCTTCTGTGCATGCAGATGAATGTACAAGCGAATGAATGGGAGGGTCATTACACAGCCACACCAAATATTCAAGAGGATGAAGATCTCAAATTATTTGCACAACTCCCCAAACTAGTGTTATGGATTATTGCACATTGTTCTCAGTAATGAGTTTGCTAATTGTAAATGTTGATAGTTAAGAATTAATTATTAGCTTCTAACAGAGGCTTCCTTTTTTCATAAAGCAGAGGATTAATATCTGGGTTATCTAGCGGTGTGGTATCACCTATTTTCACTCAATTCATTGATGCTCTCTATCCATCATTAATGTAGCTGAATGTGAACAGAAAATCCACAGCCCAAATGGAATTATCACGAGCCCCAACTGGCCAGACAAATACCCAAGCAGAAAGGAATGCAGCTGGGAAATAAGTGCCACACCTGGTCACAGGGTCAAAATAGTAAGTAGTAGTTAACATTAGTAACAAACCTATCAAAAGTTTAACTTTTATTTTATTTATTTGTCAAAGAAGTACAAGATAACAAGCATAGGTATGAACATAAATATGAACAAAGGAAGTAAATACAGATAAATGGGGACAGTAAGGCGGGGTGGTAGGCACGCCCCCTTTAAGGACCTTTTAGGAATGGGGCGAGGTCCACGGTAGACAGTGTGAGGTTGAAGCTGTGAGGGGTTGAGGCTGTAACAACGGAGTTGTGTAGGCTGTTCTAGGCGTTTACCACTCTGTTGCTGAAGTTGTATTTTCTGCAATCGAGTTTGGAGCGGTTTATTGTGAGTTTGTATCGGTTGTTTTCCCATATATTATTGTGATCGAAGCTGAAGAAGTCGTTGATGGACAAGATGTTATAGCAGACATTTTTGTGAATGATGCTTAGATCATACTGCAGGCGTCACAGTTCAAGATTGTCCAAGCCCAAAATTTCAAGCCTGAAGGCATAGGGAATACTATTGTGAGTAGAGGAGTGGAGTACTCTTCTCAAGAAATACCTTTGAATTTCAATCGTGTTAATGTCCAATATACAGTGTGGGTTCGAGGCGGACGCGCTGTATTCGAGAATTGGTCTGGCTTGAGTCAACAATATTGTTAATGAAGTAAAAATTGAATGAACAGATTTTTAAAATATTGTTTTGTCCGTATGAATTTTAGATTAGAGATCTCTGGTAAGAGCCAATAGTTATATTCATATTCCAAAAGAAAAAAAAGTGATTTGCGGCTTGCATGGGAATACATATAACAGCTGTCAGGAGTCGTTCATAAGCAGAGAGCAAATGTGCAAGCCAAGAAAAGATGCAATTGCTTTGAAGTATTCTTGATCTGGGACTATGTGTACTCTGAATCACTTTTTGCCCTTCAAACACAGATCTATGAATAGTGCTTGATGCCAACATCGTATCCATGTTACAGGTATTTCAGTAGGTCTCCCACCCTCCAGACCCCATCCCCATGTGAATTCTTAATTTTCCAACTGGCTATGCAACCATATTGTGAGTGGAGAAGTTCCCTTCCCCGCAACATGCTGTCATGATTCTAAGTGTGTAAGTGTCTAAAAAGGTTAGAGAGTTCTTAGTAGAAATTATTTATTTAGCGTATGGCAAATACATGGACTTGTAGTAGTTCAAATGTTAAAGCTCTTGATGGACATTCGGGCACAATGTGATGAATATTTTGTCGAGGAGCAGTCACACAGTCACACTGAGGGGTAGAGACAAGACCCCACTTAAATAATAAGTCCCGGCAGACACCATGTTGGGTACAGATCCTGTTCAGAGTTGACCAATGCTGGTCAAAACTTGGCACCTTTTTTGTAGGGTCATCTATGTAACTACTTGTATCTGGGAGGTCAGCAGCCCATTTGGCTTTCCACCATGTGTGACGTCAAAGTTATTAGACAGCTGTTGAGCGAGTTGTAATTTTGTTGTACTCCTTCACTAAGGCTTCCTGCCTTCGTAGAGCTGGTGGTGCAATGTGGCTCAGGATGGGGAGCCATTTTGTTTATCCATTGCCATGTATTCAGAGAGCCAGGAGTTCTACAAAGATGTCTACCTGCCAACTGTCGTTAACTGCCAATTCTTCAATGTAGTCTGGCTGCCAATTGTTGCTAGTTGTTTGAGTCACATTTCTGTGCTATCCTGGGTGCACCACGAGGAGGCAAACTAGCATCACACCCCTGTAGTAGAAGTAAACTATGCACAGAGACCTATGGTATTTAGCACATTATAATGTAATGCTTAGTAGCTGTACGATTTTATTTTAAAATATTTAAAAATACGAACGGGAATTCAGTAAAAAATATATCTATTTCTCATTTCCCAAGTGGGGTTGAGATGACCTCATTTATTGAGTGTGGTTGAAGAGCCATTTTATGAGGCCCAAAATAATCCTATCATCATATGGCAAGTACTGGACATGTATAAAAGTTGATAATTTGTTTTGGATATGCATTAAAAGAACAAAGTGTTTGACATTTTCTCTACCTTATTTAGAGTTTTTATCACGTAGCCTTGAATTCATTTGGTTGGGAAGTATTTTTTTCTCACTGTCATTTAGTGACAAGTTACCTCACTTAATTTAAATAACTCAAGAATCAGCTATATTTGCAATGCATCAAAAATAGCATCATTTATTCTAAAGTGTGCACTCTGTTTCCTGAGTTTTCAGTGTTGCTTATGCATCATTTATAGCCGCTAATCTTTGTTTCTAAGATTATTTGCTTGTGCAGCCTGAGGAAAAGGAATGTCCCACTCCCTTTTGATTCCTCATAAGATGATAGCAGTTGTTGAATCACATCCAGTCAGACAACAGAGTAGGATCCTATGCCTCAATTGCAAGTTCCCTCACCTCTACAAATGTTTTGAGGATATTTGTCTAGTATTATATTAATAGTAGAAAGGGGCAGCAATAGGAGAGGCGCCTGTCTTGAAGGCGCTTGGCTTCCATTATAAGAATTCTGGGAGCTGAGTGGATGATCTTTGGATGGTTGCAAAAAGGTCATTTGCTGACTGTATTTATAATGAATTGCAATTCAAGGATATGAGGAGAAGCTGCTGTCGGTTTGAAATGATGCAACATGCACAATATGAAAGTCAGTTTGATGTAATAGCTGGCATCAAGAAACTGGGAGACCATGAGTGCTAGTTCTACCTTATATACACAAAGCCAACTGGTTGATCTTGGGCCAGTCACTTTCAGCCCTAGGAAGTGGGGTGATAGCAAACCACTTTTGAAAAACCTTGCAACCCTGGCAACAGAGTAGAATCCTGCAAGGACTTAACAAGTTTCAACAGAAGAAAAAAGAGGAAAGACACATAATATACAGACTCATACACAAACAAACGTTTCCTCCAAGTATTAATGAGTTAAATGTATTACTGAGACAATAAAAGACCCTTAATATAACTGTAGTGTATTTAAATAGAGACTTCTAGGGCGATGTTCCTATTGGTTAACAGAAGCAACGATACGATTGGTTAGTAACGTTAGTACCTGATTGGCCGCCAATAGCGGCGGGAAGTTTAACTATATGTCATTGGTTGCGAGCCATGGAGCAGCCGCTATAAAAAGGGCTGCTGCGGTTCGACTGCAGTTGAAGTTACTGTTATTATTAAAGAGCTGAATTCAACTCCGGTCTGCGAGTCTCTTTACTGGCGACAGAACAATAACGATATTGCCTTTTAGGAAAAATGTAGTTATGATCCAATTTTTCTTGGCCCTTGGCCCTAAGATGAAGTGTATTGTGTAATTAGAATGTAAAGTTCTAGGAGTACAGTCTTGTACAATTTACCTTGGAGATTTTTTCCCCCCCAAACACAATGGGAAATCTATATATGGGATTGTGCTGTAAACCCACCATTCTACACACATTGCCTTGAAAGAAACCCCATTAAAACATGCTTCCTTTTGTACATAGGTAAAGGTTTCCCCTGTTCAGTTGTGTGTAACTGTAGGGATCAATGTTCATCTCTGTTTCTTACCGAGGGAACCAGCATTGTACAACTAACATTTCTGTGGTCATGTGGCCGGTGTGATATATACCAAGGCGTACCTCAGAAGTGGTATTCAGCAGGTTCTGACCAGTTCTGGAGAACCGGTAGCGGAAATTTTGAGTCGTTCGGAGAACCGGCAAATACCATCTCTGACTGGAGATTTTACAGTATCCTTGCCCTGCCACGCCCACCAAGCCACGCCCACAGAACCAGTAGTAGAAGAATTTGAATCCCATCACTGGCATATATACATACAATTTTACGGTAAAACTAGCAGCTTTTCTGTAAAACATAACGGGTTGTATGCTGGCTATGAATTCTTCAGATGAGTCTCTTCGCTTTGCAGCCATTCTGCTATCTTTACAATTTTATGAGCTCTGAACAATCTAAGTATTCACCTGTTCTCTCCCCCCCCTCTAATAATTTCATCCATCTTTCCCACCGAGCCTAAGAATATATGCTAAAAAGGGAAAACAATATAGCCATGTAATGTTTTTGACTGGTAGCATTAGCAGTCTTCCTTTGGAAAAAATCACTTTAGTCATGCTTTGAGTTATATTTTTTGTTACATAAAGGAGACCTCAATTAAATATGGCCTTCAGGTTGAATAGATCTAGTTCTCTTTGTAGTAGAAGTGAAGTAGATGTCAAATAGCACAATGGTTGGCCCCGTGAAAGTTGTACATTAATAGTGAACAAAATTTATGAGTGGCATTTGGGATAATATTTCAGCTGTTAATATTGTATCTGCAGCTTCTTTCTATTAATAAGAATGTCTGATGTTTCTTAATGGGGTATGCCAAGAGAAAGTATCTCTGTTTCAGCTTGCAATACTTGTACTTGTTCTGATTATTTCCATTTTACTGCCAAAATGTCAACACTTGAGCGATATGAAATTTCTCAAGGACAGCTGTTAATATAAAGTGGCAACACATTGTACTTTGGCTGACTTCCATTAGGGAATCTGCAGATTAGAACAGTCTTATTGTCCAAGACATTTTAACAGATCTCTTTGCTCTGTATTTGATTCCTTTTAAATAGACTTAGCGTGTTAATTCTTTTTGCTAACAGGTTCTTCTGATGCTCTTATTCCTATTTGATGTTTTAATGTGTGATGGAAAATTTAGAGGTAAACCTGCAAGGATGTTAACTTCGTTTAATACATACTTAAGCCATGGGTCTATCAGAAAAGATAGACATTTCTCTTTTTTAATACTTACATTGATAACTTTTTATAAATGTAAACAGTGGAAATCCTATGCAAATTTAGAATACTATTTTATATTTATACTAAATATAAAAATGCTATTACTTTTAGTAGTACTTTTAGGGACATTTATTTTATATAAAATCTCTGTATTCTGGCTTACTGTCTTCAACCTAAAAGACTTTTCCCGAATGCCAAACTTCAGATAACATTTTTCTGCTTTCAGAGAAAAATGCCTACTTTTAATTCCACTCTAATTCAATTCTGTGTTCTCCTATAATCCAGCTAAACTCTCCACATGGGATACACCTGCCCTAAAAGTTTTGCTGAATTTTCTTTGGATTTTAAATGAAAAAAATAATAATAATGTATGACAGTGATTTTTAACTTAATATTAAAGCCATCGATTCCCATGTTCAAGAAAGAGGTCTGTAGGAAAATTACAACTAGCAGAATATGATTAATATCATTAAAAGAACATGAACTTTGCATAAGCTTGGGCTGCAATGGAGCATTGTAGATAATGAAGTGCTGAGGAATATTTTTCCCTCCAAATAATTTATATTCAGGTTGGTGAAAAATAATTTGATGCTGAAATTTTACCAAAGGAGAATGTAACTTTGTAGACAGGTCAAATGCTGTGTGCTTGTATTTATTTAGTAATGAGATTCTAAGGGGTGTATATTCTGTCTTTCATTGTACAGTCATCTCTCCAGAGGTCTGGTGTCTCTGTGGATCCCTACACTTAATTAAATCCTAGGGGAAGACATTATAAAGGAACTCCACCTATTGGGATTTTTCAATAAAGATGTTATAGTTACCACTGAGTATGTCTCCTGTCTCCAGTATTGAGGAATTTCTCTTTCCCCAAGAGTAATTTAGAAATATTATTCACCTAACTTCTGTGCTCAAGACAATTCAATAATTTTGAAGAGTTGTTTCTGTTTAGTTCAAGTTATAACTATGTTCATCGTCACAGACTTTTCATGCCAACAGAGGAAAATCAGAAGGAATTCTATTATCCACACATTTTATTAACTGCTGAAGGAAGCTTGAAAACTACTTACATTGAACAAAGGAAAATAATATGTAGGGATGGGGGAAAATCTTTGAATGTTTAGATTTATGAAAAATTTCCTCCTTTAAAAAAAAAAGAGTATTCAGCCAAAGCACCAAAATATTTTTTCTTTTTAATTTTAGTTGTGGCTATTTAATGAATTCATTTCTAAAAAGTCTAAAATATAGTTTTAAAATTAGTGTTATAACATGTTTTTCTTTAGCTTTCTTTACAGTTATCTGAAAAATATGAAACCATCCTATAAATTTAAAAGAATCAACAAGTATTAGACATAATCCAGGTTTTCTTACTATCATAGATAGTTGATAGGAATAGAATAGAATAGAATTCTTTATTGGCCAAGTGTGATTGGACACATAAGGAATTTGTCTTGATGCAAATGCTCTTGGTATACATAAAAGAAAAGATACACTTGTCAAGAGTCGAAAATCATAAGGTATAACACTTAATAATAGTCATAGGGTACAATAAGCAATCAAATCATACTAGTAAACAGTCAATATAAATCATAAGGATACAAGCGACAACTTATAGTCATACAGTCACAAGGGGATGGATGATAAGCAGTGATGAGAAGATTAATAGTAATAGTAATGAAGACTTTTTACATAGTTGGAATAAATATCTTGGTATTTTTAATGCAAATGATTTCTAAATGAGAAAGCTATTAAGAACACAGTTAGATCTAATGCAAAAGAACTTGTAATAAATCTCCAAGGTTCTCATAAATATATCTATACTTGTGCTAAATTAGTTTTTCATTATTTCATCGTTTGCTTCTTCCAGTATCACTCTCACTTTTAATATTTACAATGATTCTAATAAATAAGACTATAGTGAAGTCTTGTACTTGGGATACACTTAAATTCTGGATTAAAAATTTTCTGGTTTTTTTTTTTCCAGGTATTTATTGAGTTTGAAATTGAACAACATCAGGAATGTGCCTATGACCATCTGGAGGTGTTTGATGGAGAAAACGAAAAATCGCCAATTCTGGGGCGTTTATGTGGAAATAAGATACCAGATCCTCTTATTGCCACAGGAAATAAAATGTTTCTTCGGTTTGTCTCTGATGCATCAGTTCAAAGAAAAGGCTTCCAAGCAACCCATTCAACAGGTGTGAAAGTAATTCTTACCAACTTCAATGGATACATGTTTTAACACCATCATGGGTGAAAGTTTACTTAGGTTTCTTGGGCAGAAAACAGAATATATTTTAAATCCATATGCTAAATATACAGAATACATTTTAATAATCCGATTTTCTTATTTCCCGGAAAACCAAATCATAGTGTTTTGCTGCAGAATATATATTTAAATCAAGCTGAATTGTAGGTCTTGGTGATCAAAATTCTTCCATTAAAAAAAAAGTTTCTGCCAGCAATTAGGGTTTTGCCCTGCTGGAATCAAATAATGTCTTGTGATGTCTATTTCTTTGTTTATACTGACATCTAGTGGTTTTCCTTTTGTTGTTGGTGCTTCTCAGTCATAATAAACAAAACTGATCCCTTTCAAAACTAGAACTAAGGCACAAATCTTTTCTTTCCCCTATCTTGCACACAGAATGTGGTGGTCGCCTGAAAGTTGAAAGCAAAATGAGAGACCTTTACTCTCATGCTCAGTTTGGAGATAATAATTACCCAGTTCAAGCAGATTGCGAGTGGTTGCTGGTGTCAGACCATGGCTATCGAATAGAGTTATTTTTTCAGACATTTGAAGTGGAAGAAGAGGCAGACTGTGGCTATGACTACTTAGAAGTCTTCGATGGTCACGATACATCTGCTCTGAGGATTGGCCGGTTTTGTGGATCAGGGGTAGGTCGCTTTTAAGTTTTGCAATTATCAAATTTCTTCATAAAATATCAGAACAGCATAGGTAAATGTGCAGTAGAGATGCCTATGCCCAGGTGTGGGATTCTACCTGGTCGGACCGGTTCTATAGAACCAGTTGTTATGATTCTGCGCAGTTCTGAGAAATGGCAAATAGCACTACTGGCTAGCCCTGTCCCACCCCACTCCACCCACTCACTCCTTACCTGGCATGCGTGCCATCTGCATTTTGGTAAATTGCTATTTTTCCTTCCCTCCCTCCCGACCATCAGATGTTCTGCTGTGCAGGGAGATTTAGATTAGCTAGAAAGCTAATCTTTGTTGGATTTCTTGATTTCTAGCTAATCTAAAAGCAGAGCTGAACCTTCCTTAGGACTGAAGCTTCTATTTTTCAATGCAGACTCAGGTAGCCAATTGCAGATAGATAGATCTCTAAGTGAATCTGTGATTCTGTGAGCAACTCAATCTGCCTGCCTGCTTTGCCTGATTTTGGGTAAAAGTTGCTCTTTTTTAATAAAAATAAATAAATATTTACAATATTTACATACAAGCCATGCCCAGCCAGTCACATGACCACCAAGTCACATCCAGTCAGCAGGCCACGCCTAGCCAGTCACAGGACCACCAAGCACACCCACAAATCAGGCCACGCTCACAGAACCTGTTGTTAAGAAATTTGAATCCTACCCCTGCCTATATATACCCTAGCATCTTTCTGCTGTTTTCCATTTTTCTCTAGCAGACCTTCATGTCCACAGTTTATTACAGCAAAAAATCTCTCAGTTTAAAGAAAGCTTCAATGCAGTGGAAGGATTACTGTTTAGGAAAAAAAGATCAAACTCCTGCAAACTTGTGCTCAGAAAAATTGTGTTAAAGTAGCTTACTGGATTGTATCAGTAATTTTGCTTTTTTTTTTTTTTTTTTGCAGTTGAAGTATTTGTTTCTTAAACCTAAGAGAATCAAATAATTTATGTTTTTGCAAAAAACCAAAAAATGTTACTGAGAAGCAGGTAGATAGAAACAACACATAAAGGTGTATAGAAGAATAAGAATTTCAAGCATTCTGTTATCGTTTAAAATGAAAACAGAAAACAGAAAACAAAACAATTCATTTAATACAGACTCCTTCATACTTTTTGGGGGAGGAGGGATTAGTCCTAAAGAAAAATTGAAATTTCCTGTCAGATTGACTATAAAAACTTTCAAATGAAATATTTTCATTTCACCAGGACTTGTGACAAAAAAATAATTTAATGCAAATGGAACATTCTCACATCTAAACCAAATGATTACAATAACAAAGAAGTATATAACTTCAGGCCATGTCAAAATACCGCTAGTCTAATCAAATATCTAATTTAGTTTTTTACATTATTTTGTTATTTAAAAAATCTGGTAGCTAACAAGACTTGAAAATTTCCTAAGATGCCTACATTTATATATCTTAGGTTATTTAACAAACGGTGAGATAAATCATTGTGAAAAACTGTTGAATGATTTTTTCAGAACTTTTCAACCAAAAGGACTGTCTTACTGAATGCAGCCATTAAAGATGACAATATGTACCAATTTACTTAAAATCCAATAACGGAATATAGAAGAGTTATAATTTATATAGTGCAATTTTAGATATTTTATTTATTTATTTATTTATTTGTTTGTTTGTTTATTTATTTATTTATTTATTTTTGTCAATTGCTTACAAGATAATAGGTATAAGTAAAAACATAATTATGAATACATGGATACATATAAGAAAAATAAAAAATAAAAGAAACAATAGGACAGGGACGGTAGGCACGTTGGTGCGCTTATGCATGCCCCCTACAGACCTCTTAGGAAAGGGGTGAGGTCAATAGCAGACAGTCTAAGGTTAAAGTTTTTGGGGTTGGGGGAAGAAACCACAGTCAGGTAGAATATTCCAGACATTGACCACTCTGTTGCTGAAGTCGTATTTCCTGTAATCAAGTTTGGTGCGATTAACCTTGAGTTTGTATCTATTGTTTGCTCTTGTATTGTTATGGTTGAAGTTGAAGTATTCATTGACAGGTAGGACATTACAATGTATGATTTTATATACTATACTTAGATCAGACCGAAGGCAGCATAGTTGTAGGTTTTCTAGATCTAGAATTTCGAGTCTGGTGGCATAAGGTATTCTGCAATGAGTAGAGGAGTGGAGAACTCTTCTTGTGAAATATTTCTCAACTGTGTTAATATCAGATACGTAATATGGGTTCCAGACTGATGAGTTGTATTTGAGTATTGGTCTTGCAAATGTTTTGTATGCTCTAGTTGTTAGTGTAATATTACCAGAGAAAAAGCTACATAAGATTAGGTTAAGAACTCTTAACGCCTTTTTGGCTATGTAGTTACAGTGGGCTCTAGCACTTAGGTCATTAGAGATGAGTACTCCAAGATTCTTGACAGAGTTTGGATCATCAACAGGTCTTGACTATTCAACCTGTATTTTATTTTCTGATTTTTTTTGCCAATATGTAGGACAGAACATTTATTTGTTGAGATTTGAAGTTGCCATTTGCTTGACCATTCTGATAATAGTCAAGGTCTTTTTGAACGGTAGCAGTGTTGTCTGTGGTGTTGAATAGCTTTATATCATCAGCAAAGAGAATGCAGTTGCTCTTAATATGATCACAGAGGTCATTTATGTAGAGTTTGAAGAGAGTTGGTCCTAAAACACTGTGTAGTCCATATGTTTTTGCAGTGTAAGAGTTGCAGGGTAGTTTTTTCCTGAAACCAAATTGTTTATTAGAGTAGTTTAATGTGATAATCGGTGCATTCAGTTTTTATCTGGTGGCATAAATTTTTGTATCGGCTTTTGAAGTTGGCAACATGACCAGATTTGTTTTTCCGCCAAAGTGATTTCTTCTTGGATTGAAGCTTCCTTATTGTTATGGGTAATTTGTTTTTTTCTGGCTTTGGGAGTTGTTAATGGTACATATAGTTTGATGACTCTTTCGACTTAAAGTAAAAATATGTTGTAATGGTCTTCTACAGTATTGCATCTAGTGAATAGAAATTGCCAATCAAGGGATGAGAGATCGTTGTTTATAAGAGCATAGTTGCCTTTTTTGAAGTTATAATTGGGGATTTCATCGTTGTGATGATTTTTGTGTGGATGTATGTTGAGACAAAAGTCTATTATGTTGTGGTCACTGTTGGAAAAGGGTTCTTTAATTTGTATTCCATAAATTGAATTCAAACTATTGCAGAAGATGAGATCGAGGCAATTAAGTCTAGTGTTGTTGGTTACTAGTTGTTCTAGTCCCAGATTTGTTACTGCATTGTATAAGGTTCCATGTGTGGGTGTACATTTGTTAAGGGTCCAGTTAATATGAGGTAAACTGAAGTCACCAAGAAAGATAAAAGCATGTGGACAGGATGCTGCCCATGTTAGTAGTGTATTTAGCTTGTTTGCATGTTCGATGTCATAATCAGGGGCTCTGTAACATAGTAAGAACCGAAATGTGTTATTTAAGGACAGTTCACAGACGATGGTCTCAGGAATAGCAAGCTCCTGGGTAACTTGGATGTTTTTTAGATGTAGGGACTTTTTATAGAAGATAGCAACATAAAATAACATCTCAGGATCATCCTTCTAGCAAATTCTTAATGATCTCTGCAGTATATTTTAAAGTTCTATATTTAATTAAGCAAATATAATCATAATTAAATTTAAATAAAAGCAATTTTCATCTTGCTGTAGGTCCTTTTGCTTCACCAATCTTTTGGCAATCTTTTTAGCTCGGCATATCATATAAAGGCCAAATGCAATCCTTACCCTGCCAAAATAATATCCATTGGCAGATGAACGAACAGAACATTTAATTGAACTACCAGGATCCCTGTTTTAAAATGGTTCAGGATCCAAAAGAAAGGAGATTCCTCTGTGTTTATTGATATTATTGAATGAAAATTTATTAAAAGAGAATGTTTTCCTCTGCCTAAGGAGAAAGTGAATAAATAAGCACAATGTGAAAGGGAAACACAACCAGTATTTCTAATTCAAGGCAGATTTTAGTTCAAGGAAAACTTAGTCAAATTGTCTTTAAGCTGACTCTTCTGTTCTTTTTTCAGTTTTCTTTGTTCACAGAGTAGGAGAAATGCTGAGGCTAAGCTGGGTAATTTGGAGTGGGGTAGGGCGTGCACCAACGTGCCTAACGTCCCTGTCCTATTGTTTCTTTTATATATTTTTTTATTTTTTCTTAAATGTATCCATGTATTCATAGCTATGTTTTTACTTATACCTATTATTTTGTAAGCAATTGACAAATAAAATATAAATAAATAAAATAACAAGAAGGAAATGGCTTGTCAGTTCTTACCACCTTTATTTGACAGTGCTTCATAACTGCCTTGTCTTTAAATAAAAATGGAGAAAAAAGGTACAGCATATAGCTGCATCCGTCATTCCAACTTTAAAATATTTATTTAAAAAAAAAAACAGCACTATTTTGTTCCCTGGCCATAGCAGAAGAAACACAAACCATTATAATGCATTTTATTAAAATTGAGTATACGGTATTTCAGATAAAAGGACAGTGAAATCGCTGCAGCCTGAATGATTTATTGTTGCTTCTAGAATAGCCTTGGTAAGCCTCTCTCTTTTCTTCTTCCTCTTACAGCCCCCGGAAGAAATTTATTCAGCTGGCGATTCTGTTTTACTCCATTTTCATACAGATGATACAATTAACAAAAAAGGCTTTCATATACGATACAAAAGTATAAAATATCAAGATAATGTTCACACTCAGAAATAACACAAGACACCCCTTAAGTCACAAAATGAAGCAGAGAATGACTGTTTGAATGGGTGGAGGGATTCTTTTTTTAAATAAAAAAATACTGACAATATTAGTAAAAAGCAAAGTTTTTTTTTTTAGCCTATTATTTCAAACAAGAAAAATGGAAACATCTCACTTTTAGATAAACTCCTCTATGCAGAGGAACAGACATTATGGCGACGACATATGGTCTCCATTCAATGGTTGTGTTTGCAAACTGGTGAAATGATATTGCATGCTTCCAAGGAGACTGTAAGAGCTTTGTTCACAGCTTGACAAAGGTCAGGGTTGTTTCCATCTTCAACAACAGGAAAAGATCCTGCCGACTAACTTTTTGACAAGTGACTTGAATCCAGGGGAGGAGAAAAAACTCACCTGCTACACAGGTCATGCACTTGAAATGTTGTCTTCGTATTTTCTTCTTATTTCTAATTGCATTGGTGGCATAAAATGTACAAAGAAAAGCCGTGTATTCTTTTTTTTTTTTTCTATCCCTCCACAAACTCATGGAAAACCTGGGAAACTATCTGCAAAATCATTCAATCTGTGGGCAGTTTTGGTTCGATGACGAAGCAGAACGGATCGTTTTACATTCATGGTTCATTATGAATACATTCAGACTTTGGATATTGTCAGTAACTGAATGTATTAAGTTTATTACTGCTGAAGTAGCGAAGCTCTTACATCAGACTAAGAACCAAATCAGAATTGGTCTTTGGCCAGCCTAAGGCAAACTTCTTCACAGTGATCAGCAGACGGAATCAGGACCGGAATAACCCAACACATCAATCATAAATTTCATTCCACTGGAAAAAAATGAACTGTTATTCTGCGTTTCCTTGGAAATGTTTGTGAATGAATGAATTATTTTATTATTATTTTAAGCCAATAAAAATGAAGAGTTGTTTTTTTTTAAAAAGGAGGGTGGGGTTTTCCCAAGCAATTGAAAAAAAAAAAGGATTTTTATTTTTATTTTTGTGGTGGCAAAGACTATTTCTATGGTGCTATTCCATGAACTTTAAAAGAAATCTCCACATCCCAAGATACTAGATTTTTTTGAGCCAATAACCTGCTGATCGGAAATGAGTCATTATGCCTTGTTGCATATTAACAGGAACAGCTTTCTAGATGTGAGAAAAGGATTATAACAATGGCAGCACAAACCCTGTGGAACAAACTACAATTGCCTTAGAATATTTGTAAATGATCATACCGATCTTCTTGTAGATATATATCTGATTTGATAGTTGACAACAACTTGAACATTTTAAATGCGTGTTCACAAAAACAATCCTTAAACAAATTGCCATCCGCAGTACCAGATCATTAGTTGTAAATACAGCGCAGCAGACTTGTTACTAAGGTAGAATATGCTATTTTTAGAAATTTGTTGTTTGTGCTTTAGGCCATATGTGGATTTAGTCACAATGTATATGCATCATGTAAGTTAGTATGAATGAATAAGTGAGAAGTGTTGTGTATGTATGTACAGGTAAATTGTATTTCATGTGCCAATTTATACCACAATCTCAACTGAGTGTAGCAACTTCTTTAAAGCTTTCATAAACATGACTGTAATAAAGAATCAAGAGCTATGAAATGTTTATGTTCCATTAAAAGAACTATTTTGATATCATTCGATGTTGGTTGCTATTTCGTTTAGTTTTTGTTTCCTTACCAGAATAAATACACTGGCATTAATTTTTTTAAAAATAATAATAATAAAATAAAACTAAGTATGTGTAGGTCTCATTACTTCTATTTAACAGATGTTTCAATAGCAAATGACAAAAAAAAAAAAAAAACTCAACACAGTCTTTAGAATATATTATTTAGGAGCTGGCTGACAAGTGTTAATTTCATCACAAACTGATGAAATATGGATGCATTTGTATAATGCATATAACCCAAAACTGGATAAGCATATTTTAATATAGTGCATTTTTCAAACCCAGGCTATATGATTAATTTATTATTCACAGTATCCCTTAAAATTCATTATATTCATTGTATTACTCAGAAAATGGTGTAAACCCTGTTTAAGCTAACCATGTGCAAGCATGTTATGTAAACACAGCCAATGTTTTCCCTTGGGAATAACACACTATTGAAGTTTGAAGAAATAATGGTCAAATTATTTCTTATTTCTAGCTTTACTGCATATTATAATAAGTACAGAATAGCAGAGGCTGTATTTTGGGGCGAGCAATTTGTTATTCCAGTGCTCATTTGTGGTATAGACAGCATTGTATGTTTTTACTATATGGCCAAACCCATGCTGTTCTTGAAGCACACGTGTGAGTATATGTATACACAAACACAAAACAGCACTTGAAGAACAGCAAATTTAGAAAGAATAACTCTTGCGCATACACAAGAAAAACTATGGCAATGGTTTTGTTTATAACTTTTGCTTCAACAAACTTCTTAACATTCAGCAGAGCTCTGAGATCTAGAATTATATTGGCTGATTTGGATTATACGATTATGATTTGAGAAATCCAATCTGCATGTTCAAGTAGATGTCTACCAAAGTCAAAAAAACATCTTAGCAATAATTTTGTAGTTTTGAATGTAGGATATTTGTATCATGAATTGTGCCAGTTTATTTAACAAGTTTACATTAGGGTTGCCATGGCAAGTGCTTTTCTTGACAGTGTTTACTAAACTCTGTATTGTGAGATTTTGTGTGTGATAGCTGAAAGGCTTGGGAAAAAAATTGTTGAGAAATGTAAAATGCATTATTACCCAAATTGAATAAAAATCCTTCAAACTACACATGATCAAAAGGTATCATTCTCTCCAGTTTGTGGAAAACTGAATCGCTCCTGAATATTGACTATTTTCTATTTACTTATGCTGCCTTTCTTGGTTTAAATTAAAATACATAGTTAATAGGACAGTTATATTTAGAGTCTTTAAACTGTGAAGACTGCATTGCAGCCTGTCATAATGCAGTAGCAACTTATCTGCACATTCCAGAAGTAAAGGAAGTTTCACAATTGAATGCAAAAGAAATTTGAAAGAAAAGGAAAGGCCTTTTTTTAATCCTAATTTTTAACTGAAGAAGGAACTTTGCATTCTGGGGGACACTTGTATATTAAATAGTAGCCACAAAAATACTCATATTAGGAATGTTGGCAACCATACTACCTGTTGCTATGTATAACTATTTGGATTGCTAATATCTTTAATATGTGCAACTGAGTGCCTATTATACACACACACACACACACACACAAGAAAAGAGTGATACCTTTGTGGTGTAATAGTTATTAAACTTATCACAAATGTTCTGCATTCAAAAAGGCCTTTTACCATCTCAACTCTGCCACATTACTAAAATTACTGTGAAATAGAGCCATCTTCATGTTTAGATATCTTTTGTGATAATTCTTTAAATCTGTTCAGTATTTTGAACATATTATTTCTTCATTAAAAACAGAGTAATGGTAGCCCTTTTTCCTTTTGTCTATGTAGTCCTTGAGTTATGACCACAATTGGAACCAGAATTTCAGGCGTTAAATGAAGCAAGTAAGCAAATCATCCTGTGAGGTGAACTGATTTTATGACCATTTTTACCATGGCCATTAAGTTAATCACATGATTAAGTGAATCCCACCATTAATAAGCAACTGGCTTCCAAATTGACTGTTGGAATCTGGCAGAGAATGTTGCAAATTGTGATTGCATGACTGCAACTGTCGTAAATGCAAACCAGTTGCCAAGTACCCAAATTGTGTCACACAACGCTAGGGGCAGAGGTACAGATAGTCCTCGACTTATAACAGCTTGTTTATAACAGATGATGAGAGAGAGATGATAGATAGATAGATAGATAGATAGATAGATAGATAGATAGATAGATAGATAGATGATAGATAGATAGATAGAT